TTCAAGTGATTCGCCTGCCTCAGCCTCCCAAATAGCTGGGATTACCACCATGCCTGGCTAATTTTTGTATTTTTTTGTAGAGATGGGGTTTCGTCATGTTGGCCAGGCTGGTCTCAAACTCCTGATCTTGAGATCTGCCCACCTTGGCCTCCCAAAGTGCTGGGATTACAGGCGTGAATTGCCACGCTGTGTAGGCATGTTTTAACTTTCATAGCATCCCACCCTCTGGGGGGACCCTGCCCCACTTCAGGCAGCTCAAGGTTCCCTTCTTCCCACCCTTCCCACCTCCTTTCTTGTTCAGGTTAGGTCTTGCTAACCCTGGTCTTCCAGGAATTTGTCTCTGCGACTAAAGGCGTTGGGGCTGAGTCAGCTTTCCCTGAATAACCCTGAGGGTTCAGGGCTGCTTGATTCTCCCTGCTCGAGGCCAGCTGCTCAGCCCTCTTCTGGATCACTAAGCAACGATGACCCCTCTTCCCCTCCCTCCCTTCCTCTCTATTGTTTCCATCAGAGAACCCTGGCGGACGCGGCAACTGGCATCAGGCAGATGTCGCAGGCCACGTGCCCCGGGAAATAAGGGCCTTGGAAACAAGTGATCAGTTGAGAAGTGAAAGGGTCCAGCATCGCCGGGACTTGCTTTCACATTCTAGGGGATCAGCAGTGCTGTTCCTGAGAGTGAGCTGCCGATCAGTCTCTTGTGCGCCGTATCTGGGACCACAGAAGGCGCGGGACTGAAGCGTGGTGTGTGGCTCCTGACAGCGCTGGACGCTCCGGAGAGACGGCAGAGGCTAAAGTCTCGGAGCCCCTGCCAGCCACAGGATGGCGCACAGGGCCCACCCGCAGCTCTGCTTACAGCATCTCAGGTTCCAGGGAGGAATCCTGGAAAACCCCACTCGGAGCTGAGTCTGCAGATGGCTGCAGGGCGGTGCGGCTGATTCTGCGGTTACCACCACAAAAGGAGGGCCTGAAGGCATTGCCGGGAGACTTCGGGGACTCACAGAGCTCTGACACCCCACACCTGGAGGAGGTGGCTCCCCCGGCCCATGCCACCTTTGCCTGGGGCGGCCAATGCATGGCAGTGATCGCTCTTGCTCCCCGCCAGGGTCAAAGCCACTGGGGCTTGGGGATTGAAATTCAGAAATTCTGAGAGGAGTGTGGGAGAGGAATGTCTCCTGGAAGAAAATGCAGGATACATTGGCTCCTATCACAGAAATCCTGAGAAGGGATTTTGGAGATGCTCAGCCTAGGACTGGCCCTGGGGAAGATGATCCGACCTTTGTCCTGTGCAGCTGAGGGCTCGACCCTAGTCAGCTCCAGAGAAAGCCTGGTGTCTCCAAGCTGGTGGCGGGGCGTCTGCACTGAGCACCTTGCAGCGTGGTGGGGGCAGGGGAGGCAGCTCATTAAAAGTGACCTGGAGTGAGAAGGACCCTTCTGCCTACATGAGTGGGCTCCCCAAACACCTCTGTAGTCTCGGGCTGCCATGCGATATTGCTTCCTGCTGCCGGGCTCACTGCACTGCTATGACAGGAGGTGACAGGCCAAGGCTGGAGGGTGGCTGCTCTCCCCAGAGGCCCTGTCAGCTGCAAGCAGCTGGTTTCACATAACAGAGACCCCCGACCCAGGTCCCCTGGGGGCAGGAGGATTTGCAGCTGCCATTTTGGAAGAGGAGGCTGACCATGGGAACGGGACAGAGGCGGGAAGGATGTGGAGAAGGCATTGGACGAGAGGAGTCAGACGTCCAGCTGTGTGGCCTGGCCTGTGGGGCTACTGCTTCCACCCGCACTTCCTCCCATGTGACGCCATCATCACTGCCACAATGGTGATAAAACGTCTTCTTTCCTCTGAGCAGGTGGTAAAGGCGATATTTGGTGCACAGGTTGGAGAGTGCCGTGATAGGAACCATCAGAACAAGGGCGGGAGTGCGACCTCCCGGTGATCCTGATGCAGGTGCTGCCAGTGGAGCGTTCTGGAATTCCGTGTCGAGAAAGAAGGCTGCGTGTTGACTGGGGTGGGGCTGGGCCTGGGTTCGGGGCAGCCTGTGGGCATAGCATGCGCCTTTTTTTTTTGTATTTGTCCTGCCTCCTTTCCTTCAGGGTCTCTTCCTTCCTCCTTGAGGCCCTGGGAGCATCTCAGAGTCCCGCCAGCCACTCCTCCGCTGCAGGGGTGGACATGGGAACCAAGTGGGACTTTAGGGTGTCTTCAGTACCCCCCACAGCCGCCAGCCTGCCTGTCCTCCTCCTGGCCCTGCGCTCACTCCTCCTTCTCCTGGGCTGAACCCACACTCGAAAGCCTGATCCAGGCTTGGGCCAGGTGACTGGTGCAATCCTTCCATGCCTCTCTTGGTTCCCACTGCCCTGCTGGTCCTGGGGCAGGTTGAGGGGGGAGTCACAGGCCATCCCTGCAAGGAAAAGCAGATGGGGCAGTTTGGGAGGGTGACAGAGGACCCCAGTGGGATGCCGAGTCACAACCTTGCTGAGTACAATGATTGGCAGGCATAGTGAGCTGCCTTCCCAAGCAGTGCCACCCCTGGCTCTCAGAGATGCTGCTGAAAGGGGTGACGGGCAGTGGGGGGGCTCGGGACTCTGCCAGGTGTCCTAGCTCCCATCCCCAGGCCCAGGCCCCTCCAGCAGGAAAAGCTAGGGACCTCACTGCCATGGGCTTTGAATGGCCCCCGATTCTTGGGAAGCTGCTCCTCCCAGGGAAAGGCAGGGTTGGGGTCTGCTCAGGCTCTGCCACTACCTGCTCTGTGACCTTGGGCAGGCCGAGAGTTCCTCTGAGAAAGGGGAGGCATTGTGGGCACCATCACCCCTGGGTGCCCAGTGGCTCAGCTGCCGCGGCCAGGCTGCCCTGCCCCGGCCTCGGCACTCCTCCCCCAGCCACCACAGGCAGCCCTGGACCTTCTCCTGATGAGGCCTTACTGCCAGCCCCTCTGGGAGATCAGACACAAGTTACCGACAGACAGCAGTCTGGGTGACTCCCAGGAGTCCAGGCCTCCATCGTGTTCTACTCGGTGGCTGGGGCAGCGGGCTGGGCAGCAGGGCCTCAGTGCCCAGGGAGGCAGGGCTCATCCCGCAGGTCACCACGGCAGCCCCTCCTCCTGCCCCTTACTCATTAGCCAGGCTGTACTGACACGGGCCACCCCGGCAGGGGGTGGCTCGATGGACATAGTTGGCTGTGAGGGCACTCAGGCGTGCAGGGTGGCCAGTGTCCCGGCCAGGAATGGACAGCCTCCAAGACACGCTGCCCCCGAGCCATGGGGGCTGCTGCCCTGCCTTCAGCAGGCTGGTTCCCAGAGGCTTTGGGGCTGAGGCGTGGACTCTCTTTGCTCTTTCCGGACCCCTGGTAAGGAGGTGGGTTAGGGGGCAGGCAGGGAGTGGAGAAATCGGAGAGGCTGAGGGTGTCCGCCTTGCAGGCAGGACCCAGAAGTGTGCTCACATTTTCCCCAGAAACTGCCAGGCGCAGAGCCCGGGGACAGCAGGATGGCTCCTGGAGGCTGTCCCTGGACGATCCCCAGTGGCCGTGGGGCCTGATTTTGCTCAGCAGCAGGCAGCCCCCACACAGAAGGGGTGGGTGTGTCTCAGCTGGAAACCCACAAATGCCTGAGTTGGAAGACGACTCCAGGACAAATGGGCCCTGGAGAGGCACAAAGCCTGCAGCACCTTCCCAGGGGGAAGCAGGGGCCAGCTACCCATTTCAGTTCCAAAGCGGAAACTTTTCTATACATTTCGTTTTTCCCCTGACCATAAAGAGTAATGGGCCTGGTGGGGTGGCTCTTGCCTGTAATCCCAGCGCTTTGGGAGGCCGAGGAGGGCAGATCACCTGAGGTCAGGAGTTCAAGACCCTGTCTCAAACAGGTGAAACCCTGTCTCTATTAAAAATACAAAAATTAGCCAGGCGTGGTGGCACATGCCTGTAATCCCAGTTACTTCGGAGGCTGAGGCAGGAGAATGGCTTGAACCAGGCACGGGGAGGTTGCAGTGAGCTGAGACCTTGCCATTCATGGCGCACCAGCCTGTGCGACAAAAGCAAAAATTCCGTCACAAAAAAAAAAAAAAAAAAAAGGTAACGGATTTTCAACCCCTGTAAAACCTTCAGAAAAAAATGAAAAGTTATAAAGAAGAAAGAAATTTAACTGAAATCCAACTGCTTGGAAGTAGCCATTACTAAGATTTTGGCGTATTTAATTCTCTTCCTTTTCTGGGGGTGTGTGGCCTGACCAAATTATTATTATACTAGGAACAGCAATAGCAGCATCAGACACTTGGGTCAAGCTCCCGGCGCCAGGCACTGCACTGGGTGTGTCTCGTCCACTGGCCTTTCTGGGTAGGGACATGGAAGCCAGGGGTGACTTCAGCTGCTGAAGGCAGAATGGGAGCTGGGCTCAGGCCACCTGGCCTCCAGCCCTGGTCACTGGTTCGGGGCCCTCACAGCTGGAGAGGCCTGTCTTGCAGGGCTGGGCCGTGAGGGTGGGGGCGCCTGTGGCCCAGGTCTGACCCGGTCACTGTCCTCCAGTTCCTATTCCAGATGCTGACTTTTATGAACTACGTAGTGAGCACTGTGTTCTGTGGGCACCTGGGCAAGGCGGAGCTGGCGTCGGTGACCCTCGCGGTGGCCGTGAGTACCCAGCCTGGCCCAGAGCAGGGACGTTCTCTCCCCAGGCTTCTCTGCCCGGTTCCTGGGTGGGCCCGTCTTGGGTGGCTACTCAGGGATGGGAAGACACACCCACATGGCTGGACAGCCACCTTCATAGGTGGGTCCTGAGGCCAGAGATGGAGGCAGTCTGCCCTCAGGCACACAGCACATGAGGCTGCTGAGCAGAGCCACCTCTGCCACCGCTGCCTGCTGGGTGACATTTCCCAATGCAGGCTCATCCCAGATGCAGGGGCCTCTCCTGACAAGCTCTGGTTTCCTCCTGTGTGTGCCGCCAGTTTGTCAATGTCTGTGGAGTTTCCGTAGGAGTTGGTTTGTCTTCCGCGTGTGACACCTTGATGTCTCAGGTGGGTGGCCTCCCGGAGCTGGGCAAGAAGCCAGGCAAGGGCAGAGCCAATCCCGCAGGTGCCACGGAGTTGGCAGGTGGGAGGGGCCCACCCAGGTGATCTGGGAGTGAGGGGCCCAGAGGGTGGCTGCTCCTGCCCCAGCTCCGAGGACCACAGGCTGTCAGGGAAACAGACCCTCCCCTTTGAACAAGTCTGGGCCAGGAGAAAAGGGTGGAGATGGTGGAGACAGTTTCCTGACCTCTTGCCCCCAGAGGAGGTCACCAAGTAGAGAAAGACAATCGGTTCCCCTCCTCGCTCCTAGTTCGGCTGCCTGCATGCAGGCACGAGCCCAGGGGACATGGAAGGAACCTCCCTGCTCGCAGGGGCCCGCAGTCCAGCAGGGGCTGCCCAGGCGGCCATGGGGTCACAAAGCGACCAGGCCTCACCTCTCCCTGGGTATTCCAGCTTCTCGGTGGACCTGGGCTTGGTCCTGGCTACCACTTACCCGCCTGTGACATGCGAGGAAATCCCACGTGCCTTCTTCCTCCTTGGAGTTTTGGAAAACAGTGGAGACAGTGGTGGGCTGCGGCTCAGGAAGGCCGCTGTGCCGTGCCAGGCTGCGGTGGCAGAGGGCGCAGGCTCCGCCACACACTGCTGGCGCCTGCTCCCCGCGCGGGGCATCGGAATGTCCCGGGTAGCGGAAAAGGCTGATGCGGGGCGGGCTGTTTTGCAGAGCTTCGGCAGCCCCAACAAGAAGCACGTGGGCGTGATCCTGCAGCGGGGCACACTGGTCCTGCTCCTCTGTTGCTTCCCCTGCTGGGCGCTCTTCCTCAACACCCAGCACATCCTGCTGCTCTTCAGGCAGGACCCAGAAGTGTCCAGGTGCGCTGGGCTCCAGCTGGGGAGTTGGGGCTTGCCAGAAACCTGGAGGCTCCTGGGAAACCCGGACCACCTAGGGAAACCCTAAAGAAGCCGCCCACCCCTGACCAAGCCCCGTACTTCTCTAGGCCAGGAGTGGTCACAATGCACGGTGCCTGTGGGTACTTTCCAGGCTTCGGTTTGGGGATTCTTTTCCATGGCTGCGGCTCCAGCAGCGGCCAGCAGGGGACAGAGGCGGACAAACGCCCAGTTTTAATTTAGGAGACAAGGCAAGAAACAATTTGGGATTTGCATTTTATTTGCATTTGTGTGCCTGCACACAGTTGGAGCTTTATGGATGCTTTTGAAAAAATGCAGTGTGTGCATTTTCCCATATTCCAAAAAGGAGAGAGATGACAACCAATTTTTGATGAATTATAGTTTTAGTAGTAGTAGTAGTAGTTATTATTTTTTGAGACAGAGCCTCACTCTGTGGCCCAGGCTGGAATGCAGTGGTGCAGTCTTGGCTCACTGCAACCTCTGCCTCTCGGGTTCAAGTGATTCTCCCGCCTCAGCCTTCTGAGTAGCTGGGACTACAGGCGCACACCACCACACCCAGCTAATTTTTGTATTTTTAGTAGAGACGAGGTTTCGCCATGTTGGCCAGAATGGTCTCGATCTCCTGACCCCGTGATCTGCCCACCTCAGCCTCCCAAAGTGCTGGGATTACAGGCATGAGCCGCTGTGCCCGGCCCATAGTTTATGATTCAATTCAGAGATGCCCTCTTGTAGGGAGCCCTCGTTCATTCATATTATGTACATTTCATTTGGTTATTCCTTTTTAAGATATAACCTTTTTTTCTTAAAAACCACATGTTACTCTGAATTTAAGTTCTCTAGTCCTGAGGCCTGGGTATTTGGGTGCCTCAGCTGCCCCTCCTGGCACCCGCTTAGCATCTGAGAGCAGCAGCCCCTGATGCGGAGGTTTCACAGTCCTGGCTGAGATCTGCAGGGCATGGTAAAGCCTCTCCTCAAACCTAGGGGCCCAGGATGCCCTGGGACGGCAGCCAAGCACCCAGTCCTGGAGGGTACAGGGGACAGGACCCTGCCTCCCCGGGCCACAGCCTGGTCAGCTCTGGAGCTTCTGCTTCTCTTGCAGGTTGACCCAGGACTACGTAATGATTTTCATCCCAGGACTTCCAGTAGGTGACCCTGTTTGCTGAGCATGGAATCACATTCCCCTAAATTCTGGCTTTTTGCTTTCCGACCCTAACTGCTGGGGAAGATCCTTATCCTGCTATGACTTCCTGCTGGGCCACGAGAATGATTGACAGAAGAGAAGTTCCCTTTGCAGTTGGTGCAAACTGAATTTCCAAAAAATAGTGTAACGTGTTTTTCTGATTTGAAAATGTTTAATGGAGAAAATATGAAAAGCATGAGGCAGGAAGAATTCAAATCACCTTTAATTCTACCACCCAGAGACAACATATGTTACTATCTCTCTCCAGGATTTTTCTTTTTCTTTTTCTTTTTTTTTTTTTTCTAGACGGAGTCTTGCTTTGTCACCCGGGCTGGAGGGCAGTGGCACGATCTTGGCTCACTGCCACCTCCGCCTCCTGGGTTCCAGCCATTCTGCCTCAGCCTCCCAAGTAGCTGAGATTACAGGCATGCACCAACACACCTAATTTTTGTATTTTTAGTAGAGATGGAGTTTCTTCATGTTGGCCAGGCTGGTCTTGAACTCCTGACCTCAGGAAGTGATCCGCCAACTCAGTCTCCCAAAGTGCTGGAATTACAGCTGTGAGCCACCACACTCAGGCCTCCAGGATTATTTCTATTCATGGGTGTGTGTATTCAAACACACACATACACACAAATTGAAATGGGATCCATATGTGTATATTGTATTATAATATGCTCTTCCCCTTTAAAACATATCATTAGTCTCTTTATATGATGAAATAGCCTTCTGCAATATCAATTCCAAAGGTTATCCGGTACCCATAGTTATGCCATAATTTATTAACCAATCCCTATTTATGAAACAAACTATGATAAATAAGATTTGCGATATTCTTAAAATTTATCTTTGTGAGTCATCTGTAATGATTTCCAAGGAAATTATCAGTTACAGACATGCATTACTGGAAGTGGAATTGCTCAGTGAATGGCTTCTGAGACATATTGCCAAACTGTACCAGTTTCTACCCCAGCCAGCAAAAACTTCATTAGCATACACTATTATTAAGAGTTCTTCCAATTAGAAATAGTTTTAACGTGCCTGTCTGCCTTCCTTCCTTCCTTCCTTCCTTCCTTCCTTCCTTCTTTGCTTCCTCTCTCTCTCTCTCTCTCTCTCTCTCTCTTTCTTCTTTCTTTTGAGATGGAATCTTGCTCTGTTGCCCAGGCTGGAGTGAGGTAGCATGATCTTGGCTCACTGCAAACCTCTGCCTCCTGGTTCAAGCGATTCTCCTGCCTCAGCTTCCTGAGTAGCTGAGATTACAGGTGTGCACCACCATGCTTGGCTAATTGTTGTATTTTAGTAGAGATGGGGTTTCACCATTTTGGTTGGGCTGGTGTCCCAAAGTGTTGGGATTACAGGTGTGAGCCACCACTCCTGGCCTGCATTTCTTTCTTTCTTTCTTACTTTCTTTTTTTTTTTTTCTTGAGACAGAGTCTTGCTCTATGACCAGGCGCCAGGCTGGAGTGCAGTGGCACAATCTTGGGTCACTGCAATCTCTGCTTCCTGGGTTCAAGCAATTCTCCTGCCTCAGCCTCCCAAGTAGCTGGGACTACAGGCGCACACCACCACACCCAGCTAAGTTTTGTATTTTTTAGTAGAGACAGGGTTTCACCATGTTGGCCAGGATGGTCTTAATCTCTTGACCTTGTGATCCACCGGCCTCAGCCTCCCAAAGTGCTGGGATTACAGGCGTGAGCCACCGTGTCCGGCCTGCATTTCTTTTATTGATAATGAAGTCGAACATTTTCTCGTGTGTTTATTCTGTGAATAGCTCTTTGCTTATTTTAGTGGGTTAATCTTTTTCGAAGTATTATAATTCTTATTAAAGAATAATCCTTTGCCTTTTATTCTGTTTATGTTTCTGATTTAAAGAATTTTGAATGTGTATGTAAGTCCTTATGTCTTTAAGGAGCTTAAAAGACTTAACTCATGGCAAGATTATATACACATTTGCTTATATTTTTGGACCCTTCCAGGGTTTCTATTTTTACATTTAAGTCATTAATCCCATGAACTTAAAATTTTTTGAACAGCATTTATTGCATATTCTCTCCTTTCTGCATTAATTTGTTCATTACTAAATGAATCAACAGTGCATCTGTCTGGGTCGGTGTCTGTCTGTCCCGTGACCCGGTGATCTGTATCTCTTCCACAGCCCAGTGCTTCACTGTTTTGACTTGCAGCTCAGTGATGCCTGCTAGGACTGGCAGTTCTGAGTGCTGCCCGGCCCTGCCAGGCTGAGCTCACCTTTTGACACTGTAGCCTCCAGGGCGCCAAGGGCAGAGTTGTGGGCCAGGGAGCTGGGCAGGGACGAGGTCAGGATTGAAGGTGGGGTGCCCCAACAGCGTGCAGTCCTGGTAGACCCAGCCACACCCACTTCTCTGCCACGCCAGTGCCATGACCTCTTTGGGGTCTAGCTGGTTACAGATTTCTTCCAGATCATGGAAACCACCTTATAGGGCTGGTCTTCTCTGAGTCTTCCATATAAACCATACTTTGGCTTTTCAGACCAAGGTGGTGGCATCTTGTCAACCAGGACTGTTGGCGCTGGGTCGGGGGAAATGCCCTACAGATATCACTGTGGCGTCATCTTTATCAAATAAGCCAAAGTCCTTCCACAAAATGCAGCTGCAGAAGTTAATTGCTAATAATACTGACTTACGTAGTGCTCGGCTAACATCGGAATGCTCAGATGTCCCATAGACTGTTTTGTAAGCACTTTGCAATATTAACTTTGCAATATTTATGTGTGTGAAATATTAAGTGCATTTTAGGTGCACACACACTGTTATTAGCCCCTTAATAATAGTGAGGAAATAAACTCAGTGAGGTTACAAATAACAGATGAGGAAACAAACTCAGTGAGGTTAAGTAACTTGCCCAAGATCACACATCTCAGAAGAGGCAGAGCCAGGAACTGAACCCAGTCCATTCCGGCTCCGTACTCTGAATCGGTACACGGTGCTGAAAAGAAGTGGAGGGCTCAGCCGGGCGCGGTGGCTCAAGCCTGTAATCCCAGCACATTGGGAGGCCGAGGCGGGTGGATCACGAGGTCGAGAGATCGAGACCATCCTGGTCAACATGGTGAAACCCCGTCTCTACTAAAAATACAAAAGCTGAGGCAGGAGAATTGCTTGAACCCAGGAGGCGGAGGTTGCGGTGAGCCGAGATCGCGCCATTGCACTCCAGCCTGGGTAACAAGAGTGAAACTCCATCTCAAAAAAAAAAAAAAAAAAAAAGAAGTGGAGGGCTAAGGAGAGGCATGAGGCAAGGAAGGCGTGGGCCCTGGGCTAGGTTTCGGTTGACGCCCATTCTATACTCCTTAAGAGAGGAGAGAAAGGGCAGGGACAGTGCCCCCAACGCACGCACTGCCACGCACACTCCCCTGCGGTCCTCCCCGGCCAGGGAAGGGTGTGCCCTCTCCCCTGCCACCCCATAGGGTCTTGAACTTGCTCAGCATAGGCTAATCTCGGTCAGCATGGCTCAGTACCTGCCATTGCCCACTCCAGATCACTCCTTCAAATCCTCTTGGGTGATCTTCTCACCCTCCAAAGCTGACAGAGACCTGGCTTAGCAGCCAGAAGGCCTACCAGGCACTGTGCACCGTGAACAGGTATGCGAAGGGTCCCCTCTCAGAGCCAAAACATGCCTGCTCATCTCCCCTGTGGCAGAAGGGAGTCCTGAGGGGGCCTCTCCCATAGGCCGGGCCAGAGCACAAGTCTAGGTGGTCAGGTGGGCTTTGGCCGTACCTGAGGGGTCCCAGACATACTTTGATAAGTAATTGACCCAATCTAGGGTACCATGTCCTGGAGAGGAATGTCGGTTAATGCTCATTTGGTGGATTTTGGTCATTGTTACTGACTTGTTTGGGTTTGCTTTTCATACAGGTGATTTTTCTTTACAATCTGCTGGCAAAATATTTGCAAAATCAGGTACAGGTCTTTGGCATGGGGGCGGCCCTTCTCCCAGCACACTGCCCTGTTCCAGTGGGAGGGGCCTGGGGCTTTCCCCTTCTCTCCACCTTCTGTGAACCAGCTCTGGAAAGGGGTCACTTCCAGCCCACCACGCCACATCCTGACCTCCGCACAGAGGTGGGTGAGAGGCTGTGTGCCCCAGCCTCTTCCAATTCCCGGACGAGGATGTCTGAAGGGGCAGGCGAGGGAGTCCCCATTCCACACCCTGGGTCTGTCCACCGGCCATGCATCCCACTCACACCTTAGCAGGGCCAGCTTTCATTTCTTTCAGAAGATCACGTGGCCCCAAGTCCTCAGTGGTGTGGTGGGCAACTGTGTGAACGGGATGGGCAACTACACCCTGGTCTCTGTGCTGGGCCTGGGGATCAGGTGAGCCCAGAGGCTGGTGGGGCCTGGTCAGGGGGCACTGCCCACCAAGCTCCCCAACCCTGATAGAGACAGGTCAGTCACCATCCTGGCCCTGCCTGTGCTGTCCTGAAGTGGGGGGTTATGGGAAGTTGGAGGGGTCTGATGGTCTCTTGGGGACCTCAGTTTGAGGCCTGATGGGGTGAGAGGACAGCCACTCCCCACTCCTGCCCCAGCCCACCAGGAGAGGCAAAGTGGGCACTGGCAGTGGCCCCAGGACACTGTAGTCATGGTTGCCTGGGTAGAGCCACCATGGCCAGAGGTGCCTGTGGGGCCTGGCTGCGTCCGATCCCAGGATGGGGGTAGAGCAGAGCCATGCCTGCCCCACATGGGCTGGCTGCCAGAGCCATCTCTCCCTCAGGCAGCGAGTGGCATCAGTCCCAGAGAGTGGCATCAGTGGGTGGCAGAGAGTCGGCATGAGTCCTAGCCCTGCTCTCCCTCCTTTCCCAGAGGCTCTGCCTATGCCAACATCATCTCCCAGTTCGCACAGACCGTCTTCCTCCTTCTCTACATCATGCTGAAGAAGCTGCACCTGGAGACGTGGGCAGGTGGGAGGCCCGGTCTGCTCTGGGAGGCTGAGCAGGCCAGTGGCGGTGCTGCCCCAGGCAGGGTGGTCAACAGGAAGGTGCAGGACCCTGCACGGCCCCCCTCCTTCCCCTTTGCTTCCCCAGCCCCAAGGGCCCAAGGGCCCTTCATCCAAGGTGTCACGATGCAGAGCCCTGATGGGTCCATCACAGAAGCCTGGCCCAGGGAGCTTTCCTGCCCAGTCCCTGCTCTCAGGATGGCGGTGAGAGCAGTGACAGGCATGGAATACCAGGTGTCAGCGGCGTGTGGGGTACCTGATATTCCTGACTTCATTTAAGCCTCACCACACCTCATTAGCCCCATCTTACAAAGAGGAGATTATGACAGACGGAGATTAAGTCATTTGTCGAAACACCACGCACGCTGGGGCCCGCCTGTGCTCTTCTGCCTCTTGAGAGCCAATCCCATACAAAGAGGACCTCTCTTGCCAGGCATTTCAGGAACAGCTCTGCGGGCCTGTGGGGCCTCACCTGGGGGCAGGGCCCTGGCTGAGCCCCTTTCAAGCCTGCGAGGCACACCTATGATGTGTTCGCCTTCAGCATCCTTGATCTCAAGCTGCCTCTGAAAACCCCCGAGGGAGGCAGGGCAGAGCTAAGGCCTGGGGTTTTCAGATGGGAACAGAGCTTGCAGAGTGGTGGGTAGTTGCCCAAAATCCCAGTGTTGAGGGTGGAGTGGGGACCAACACCCATCCGTGGGCTGACTGGGCCACCCGTGAACCGGCCAGGCGAGCCTGGTATCCTGTTCCTGCACGCTCCTCCTCCATGGGCCCAGCACCAGCTCTAGACCATCCGCATTCCCTCTGCAAAACACCCAGTGCCTGGGCCTGCTAAGCCGCAGAGCAGGAAGAGCCAAAGGTGTTTAGGGGCCTCCTGGCAGTGGAGAGCGGGAAGCAGGTGGGCGAGCTGGGTGGGCTGCCAGCTCAGGGGTCTCTGTTCCAGGTTGGTCCAGCCAGTGCCTGCAGGACTGGGGCCCCTTTTTCTCCCTGGCTGTCCCCAGCATGCTCATGATCTGCATTGAGTGGTGGGCCTACGAGATCGGGAGCTTCCTCATGGGTACGTGGAAGAGTGGGAGGTGCACAATGGCATGTGGGCAGCTCACCCAGCCCAGAAGCCCCTTCCCCAGGATGGCAGCTCACCAGTCCCCTTCCCATTCCACTGGCCAGATCCCCAGGCATGGACCCAGAAAGCACAACCGCCCAGTGGGGTGGTCAGTCTGTTGCTGGTCTGCCTGCCCACTAGGCTGTGAGCATCCAGGAGGCAGGCCTGGGCCTTTTGTGCCTGAATCCCAGCATGGGCCAGGCAGAGCAGGTGCCTGTGGGAGGTGGCTGAGGCACAGAGAACTGAGAGATCGAATGAGGTGGTTTGTGGGCGCGAACAGAGCCTGGGCTTGCAAGTGTGAGGCTCCTGCCTGCTGTCTTGTGTGTGCTCATCAGAGCACTCGGTGAAGTGAGGACTCGAGGTAGCCTGAATATCAGAACCCCTGCCCTGCATTAACAGATGAGAAAATGGGGCCCCGGGAACAGAGGAATTCCACAAACAGGAAATCCGTGGCAGGGCTGAGAACCGAACTTGGGTTGCCAGACCCTGGCCCTGTTCTCTGTCCCCTCCCTCACACTGTCACCCTGAGTTCATCCGGAAAGACAAACCACGTGTGGAAGTCTGCAGGGGCCTCTGGGGCACTGGGCAGAATTTTCCTAATGGTTGAAGGCCAGAAGGAATGTCTTTTTGTTGTTCTTGTTACCAATCTGCCCTTCAAAATCAGCTGGGCGTGGTGGCTCACACCTGTAATCCCAGCACTTTGAAAGGCCGAGGCAGGCGGATCACTTGAAGCCAGGAGTTTGAGACCAGCCTGGCCAACACCGCGAAACCCGGTTTCTACAAAAACTGCAAAAATTAACTGGTGTGGTGGCACCACCTGTAGTCCCAGCTACTTGGGAGCCTGAGGTGGGAGGATCACCTAAGCCAGGGGGCGGGGGTTGCAGTGAGCTATATTTGTGCCGCTGCACTCCAGCTTCGGCAACAGAGTGAGACCCTGTCTCAAAGAGAAAAAAAAAATTTGCCCGAGTCCCCAAAACAGAGCAGCGTCCTGTCGGTGCAGGGTCTGGGTGTCTGGGCTGCAGGCTGGGCTCACGGCGAGCCTCTCCTCCAGGCCTGCTCAGCGTGGAGGACCTCTCCGCCCAGGCTGTCATCTATGAGGTGGCCACCGTGACCTACATGGTAAGTAAGGCTCCTGCAGGGGTGCCTTCCCCACATCCCCCACCTGATGGCTGGAGGTATCATCGGGGGGCCGCTGTCACCTGAGGCTGTCTCCGTCTCCCGAGGGACCCTCCTGGACCTCTCGTGCCCACCAGGTCCAGGCCCTGCTCAGCTTAAGCCAGGGCTCACACACAGGTGGCCACGACCTGTCCACCAGGGGTGGTATTTCACTCACAGATGTGGGAATGTTTTAAATTAATTAGCGTTATTTTAAAATTGGGAGATTTCAGCGGGGCGCGGTGGCTCAAGCCTGTAATCCCAGCACTTTGGGAGGCCGAGGCGGGTGGATCACGAGGTCAAGAGATCGAGACCAGCCTGGTCAACAAGGTGAAACCCCGTCTCTACTAAAAATACAAAAAATTAGCTGGGCATGGTGGCGCGTGCCTGTAATCCCAGCTACTCAGGAGGCTGAGGCAGGAGAATTGCCTGAACCTAGGAGGCGGAGGTTGTGGTGAGCCGAGATCGCGCCATTGCACTCCAGCCTGGGTAACAAGAGCGAAACTCCGTCTCAAAAAAAAAAAAAAAAAAAAAAAAAAATTGGGAGATTTCACGCCACAATCTTAGTTTTGGATTTTCTTAAGAAATGCACATTCCATTGAGCAGCAGGCCCACGTTCCTGCACACTGCAGTCGGCCAGAGTTGGGTGACAGCATCCCCAGCAGGGCCACGGGCTCTCCGCCACTGCAGCCCCCGCCTGCCCTGTACTCCCCACAGAGACACACCGTCATCTTCCTCATGCCGCCCACGCCACTCCAGGTCACTCCGGTTGGCATCTGCCAGCGTCCTGGGGGCATGCTGTCCTAGACCCCACGTTTAAGCAAAGGATTCACACAAATCTACATTACAAAACCATTTGTACAAACGTTTGTTGCTGAACCCTCTTTTTTCTTACAGGGAGCTTTTCAGGTATACTTAAGACCATAGTCACCTCTTTAAAATCCGTTTCTCATTGGATTTTGATCACACAGTGATTTGGGTTGCAAGGCCCACCTGCCTGTGCTGCCTCTGACGGCGCAGGTGCTGGTGGGACTGGCTGGCTCCTGGGGGGGGTCCCCCCACCCTTCTCCCAGCCTCAGCCCTCCCTGCCTCATTGTTAGCAGCAAGAATGCCACACGCCTCTTAGGCTGCAGGCCTGAGATCTGCTCCGCCATCCCACTCCCATCCCCCTTGGCCCAGGCTGGCTCAGGACGGCAGCGGTTACACGGCGGCCCCACTGACAGTGCTTTTTTATCATTGGTCCCAGATTCCCTTGGGGCTCAGCATCGGGGTGTGTGTCCGAGTGGGGATGGCTCTGGGGGCTGCGGACACTGTGCAGGCCAAACGCTCGGCTGTCTCAGGTGTGCTTCTCATAGGTAGGTGGAGTCCTCTCCTGGTGGGCCTTCGACCATGGGCCTGAGTCACCAGCCTGGGCCAGAGGAAGGCTGGCACAGTGGAGGCAGGGCTGGCCTCGGGAGCTGCCAGGCTTATCTTCCAAGCCTGCTGGACCTGCCATCTGACCCAGGCCAGCCTCTGCTGATAAGCTGACAGCTGCCCCTCCCTGAGCAGCAAGCGTCCCTCCCACCACCTTGTCCCCACCCCCACTCACGCCTTCCCTGCCCCTATGATTCTGGGACTCTTCTGGAGATCGCTGGCTTCTACCACTCACCTTAGAGAAAAGCCTGACTCTCTGAAGGCCCTTTCTGTCCAGCACTCTTCTGGCTGTGTAGAGTCCTTCTGCAAGCCCGGCCCTCCCAGCACCCCCATGAGCTCGGCAGCTGCCCACCCTCCCTTAAGAAGGAGCCACTCGGCCGGGCGCGGTGGCTCAAGCCTGTAATCCCAGCACTTTGGAAGGCCGAGGCAAGTGGATCACGAGGGTCAAGAGATCGAGACCATCCTGGTCAACATGGTGAAACCCCGTCTCTACTAAAAATACAAAAATCAGCTGGGCATGGTGGTGCACGCCTGTAGTCCCAGCTACTCGGGAGGCTGAGGCAGGAGAATTGCTTGAACCCAGGAGACGGAGGTTGCGGTGAGCCGAGATCGCGCCATTGCACTCCAGCCTGGGTAACAAAAGTGAAACTCCGTCTCAAAAAAAAAAAAAAAAAAAAAAAAGGAGCCACTCGTGTCCTCTGACATCATGGCTGTGCTTTCTTAGACTGAAGGCTCACACCGGCTTCCCTGTAGAAAGCAGTGGTTCTCAGGCTGTAGTCGGAATCCCCAAGAGGGCTGATCATGGATTGCTGGGCCTCTCTAGCGGGCTTTGATTCAGTAGATGGGAGGCGGGGTCTGAGAATCTGCGTTTCTAACAAGTTCCCAGGTGATGTGGATGCTGCTGGGCCAGCGTGCCCCCCACTCTGAGGACCAGCGGGGTGAAAGCATCTTCCACACTGCCCTTCCTACCAGACTGAGTGTCTAGCCCAAATGAACACCTCGGATGCAGGGGACATCAGGGCCCGTGACAAAAGGCGCCTAATTGCAGAGGGCTGGGCTGACTGGCACCGCCTAAGCGGTCCGCCCTTTGCTGATGTGAGCAGGGTGCTCCCTGGGTTGGGGTCTGTCATGGCTGCACCTTTTGTCTCTTTCAGTTGGCATCTCCCTGGTCCTGGGCACCCTCATAGGCATCCTGAAAAATCAGCTGGGGCACATTTTTACCAATGATGAGTAGGTAATCAGTTTTCTATGCTGACTTTTGGAAAACGTCACAGGGGTTCTCAGCCTGTCCTCAGACATTTATCATGTGCCTGGCCCAGGGCTGCGCATGAAGGAAGCGGGAAGAGTCCAGGCTCTTTGCTTGAAATAAGAACGGAACTATTATTAGCAAACACTTTGGGCACTTACTATACAGCTAGCCCTTCACGTGTATTAGCAAGTTCATCCTCACAGACCGGCGAGGCCTTGGGGAGGGCAAAGGTATTTAAATCATGTCTGAGGAGTCAACCTCTGTCCACTCTAGGCCTTCATGACCTGCCTGTCCACAGACAAGAGGCTCACTGAAGGGCGGTACAAAATTATGGGGACTCTCCAAAGTTTGAGGTGTGACCCACAGACACATAGAAAACTCTGGGCTAGCAGTGCCACTTACATTTGTGTGGGGCACCTACCTCTATTCCAAAGCGTTTTCTTGGTGGGGGATGGGGGGCATGGAACAGAAGGGAGATAAATGGGTCTCAAAGGCTACCTCTGTGTCTTGTGCTTTCTCATTTCTTCTGCAGAGATGTCATCGCCCTGGTGGGCCAGGTCTTGCCGGTTTATAGCGTCTTTCACTTGTTTGAGGCCGTCTGTGTGAGTACCACTTTGATCCAAAGCCTGACTTGGGGACACGATTTGCATGCCTTTGCCCTCTCCAAGACCTCACAGGGCCGTGAGGATGAACTTGTTAATACACATGCAGGGCTAACTGTATAGTAAGTGCCTAGAGTATCTGCTGATAACAGTTCCATTCTTATTTCAAGCAATGACTTCCCTCCTCTCCTGCAATTTACACAAGCCACGCGTATTAGCAAAGAACTGAAAAATTGCAGCAGTGCAAAGCCATAAATCTTTTTTCTTCCGGATTCCTCATGAGCTGGGACCATGACATTGACCTGTGCCCCAGGCTGGCCAGGAGCCGAATGGCAACCATATCCTGTAGCCAGCACAGAGGGACATTTCTACAAGGGAACGAGCTCAACCAGAACATAGAAGGACCTGGACTTTCTGCTCCTCTGATCACTGAAAGACAGGTCTCATTTAACACAGATTTGAATTTTGTGATTTTATATATTTTTTGAGACAGGGTCTCGCTTTGTCGCCCAGGCTGGAGTGCAGTGGTGCAATCATGGCTCACTGCAGCATCGACCTCCCGGGCTCAAGCGATCTTCTCACCTCACCCTCCTGAGTAGCAGGGACTACAGGTGCATGCCACCACATGCAGCTAACCTTTTAATTTTTGTATTTTTTGAAGAGACAGGGTCACACTATGGTAGGTGGAGTTCTCTCCTGGTGGGCCTTCAAATGTTGGCCTGAGTCACCAGCCTGGGCCAGAGGAAGGCTGGCATGTGGAAGCAGGGCCGGCCTGGTGAGCCGCCAGTTTTATCATCTAAGCCCTGGCTGGTCTCAAACTCCTGGACTCAAGTGATCCTCCCAAATCAGTATCCCCAATTGCTGGGATTATAGGCGTGAACTACTGTGCCCAGCTGTGGTTTTTTAAAAACATGAGAAAACAACAACGAAAAAACCCAAAACACTTAAGTCTTGTTTCATAAGCAGAATTTGAACTCATATGACTCCTACTTTGCGTCTGGAGTTATATGAATTCTTTAGGAACACACCCCTTGCATAAATTCCCATCGCTCTGCAGGCGGATATGCCCTTAATTAGCAACACGAAACACTGGCACGCTCCAGGCCTTGCTCAGCTGGGGAAAAACACCTGTATAATAACTACCAGCTCATTAAAAACCTACTGAAGAAATTATACTTATGGAGGATTTTTCTAAAGGCCTCTGGGTACTCCATCCAGTTCACTAACTATTCTAATATAGTTTGGCGTTCAGAAAGTGACATCCTTGGGCCGTGTGTTCTTAGCCTCAGCAGAAATGCCTTCTCTGGGCTGTGTTCTGGCATCATATTTGTGGCCTTTATCAAGGAACATCAAACAAAACTCCTTTATGGAGGCCATTATTGCTTTTGTCATAAAACATTATTTCTTTTCTTTTGTTTTGAGACAGAGTATCACTCTGTTGCCCAGGCTGGAGTGCAGTGGTGCAATCTTGGTTCACTGCAACCCCCACCTCCTGAGTTCAAGTGATTCTCCTGCCTCAGCCTCCCGAGTAGCTGGGACTACAGGCATGCGCCCTGACTCCCAGCTGATTGTTGTATTTTTAGTAGAGACAGGGTTTCGCCATGTTGGCCAGGCTGGTCTCAAACTCCTGACCTCAGGTGATCCACTGGCCTCGCCCTCCCAAAGTGCTGGGATTACAGGTATGAGCCACCTCACCCGGCCTGGATACTGTTAAGACACTATTCATATTTTTTCTCTAGTGTCTGGATGAGACCACACCCGAGAAATCCCTCTTGAAATTGAAGAAACTGAAGGCTAGGAATGGCTTTGCTTTTTTTTTTTTTTTTTTTTTGAGACAGGTCTCACTGTATCGCCCAGGCTGGAGTACAGTGGTGCCATCTCAGCTCACTGCAGTCTTGACCTCCTGGGTGCAAGTGATCCTCCTACCTCAGCCTCCTGAGTAGCTGGGAGGCTGAGGTAGAGAAGGGATCTTTTGTAGAGATGGGATCTTGCTATGTTGTCCAGGCTAGTCTTGAGCCCCTGGGCTCAAGCAGTCCTCCTGCCTCGGCCTCCCAAAGTACTGGGATTGCAGGCATGAGCCATGGCACCCAGCCCAGCATTTCTTAAGAAATTAAGTATGCCTCCTCTTCCAGTGGGCAATACTTCTCTATCCACTTTGGCTACCAAGAAACTCTGAGTCAGGTTTACAGAGAACAGTCACCGGGGCCTGACAGCTTGTATAGGTGCATCACCTTCCCTTCTGGCTGGTCTTTTTCTTAATTTACCTTTTCCATGAAGCTTATTTTTTATTTATTTACTTTTTTGATCCAGAATCTCACTCTGTCACCCAGGCTGGAGTGCAGTGGCATGATCTCAGCTCACTGCAACCTCCACCTCCTGGGTTCAAGCAATTCTCCTGCCTCAGCCTCCCAAGTAGCTTGGACAACAAGCGTGTGCCACCACACCCAGCTAATTTTTATACTTTTAGCATAGATGGAGTTTCACCTTATTGGCCAGGCTGGTCTCGAACTCCTGACCTTGTGATCCGCCTGCCTTGGCCTCCCAAAGTGCTAGGATTACAGGCGTGAGCCACCATGCCCAGCCTATTTTTATATTTTGTAAACTTTGAGTGAGCTATAATTTACATATTATAAAATTCATATATAAGTGTACAACTCCGTGATTTTAAATGAATTTAGAATTATGTAACCATCACCACCATCTAGTTTTACATCACCCCCCAGAATTTCCTGGAGACTGTTTTGTGGTTAATCCCTGCTCCCACCTCCTGCTCTGGGTAATCCATTGAATTGTTTTCTGTCAGTATAAACGACTTCACATAAGGAGGGTCGTACATTGTGCAGTCCCGGGTCTGGCTGCTTCTCCTTAGCATACTGTTTTTGAGGTTCATCATGCGGTAGCACGCGTCAGTGCCTCATTCCTTTTATTACCAAGTAGATCCAGTGCATGGAAATACTGCCTTTGTTTATCCATTCACCAGCTGATGGACATTTGGGTTGTTTCTAGATTTTGCTGTCATCAATAATGCTGTTTAGAACGTTCCTGTGGAAGTCTTTGTGTGGATTTGTTTTCATTTGTTTTAGTAGAGTCCTGGGAGTTGAACTGTTGGGTCAAATGATAACTTTATTTTTAGCTTTTGCAGAAACTGCCAGCTGGGTGCAGTGGCTCATGCCAGCATGCTAGTGCTGGTAATCCCAGCACTTTGGGAGGCTGAGGTGGGAGGATCACTTCAACCAAGGCATTCGAGACCAGCCTGGGCAACATAGAGAGACCCTGTCTATACAAAAAATTTAAAACTTAGCTGGGCATGGTAGTGCACACCTGTGGTCCCTAGAGCTAGTCAGGAGGCTGAGGTAGGAGGATCGCTTGGGCCCAGGTGGTCGAGGTTGCAGTGAGCTGTGATCATGCCACTGCACTTTAGCTTGAGTGACAGAGAAAGACCTTGATTAAAAAAAAAAAAGAAAGAAAGAAAGAAAGAAAAGAAACAATCTGTTTTCTAACGTGGTTGTACAATTTACATTCCCACCAGCAATATATGAGGATTTCAGTTTCCCGACTTCCTTGCCAATTCTTGGTATTATATTTTTTAACAATTAATAGGCATTCGTTTTAAGAGCAGGTTTAAGTTTAGAGAAAAAGTCGAGCAAAAAATACGGAGTTCCCATATGTCTCCTCCCTCCCCGTACACTTTCCCCCCGATTTCCCTCTTGAGTTAGCACGGCACACTTGTTAGAACTGATGAACTACTATTGAGACATGATTAGCTGAAGCCCTTCATGTACATTAGGCTTCACTCTGTGCTGTGCCTCTTACGCGTTTTGACAAATGTATAATGACATGTATCTACCATCATGGCATCACACAGGGCAGTTTCACTGCTCTAAACATTCCCTGTGCACCACCTGTTCATCCCTTTCCCTCTCCTTTCCTGCTCTGGAACCCCTGGCAACCACTATTTTTAACTGTCTCTATAGTGTGGCCTTTGCCAGATTGTCACAGAGTTGGAATCACATAGTATGTGGCCTCTCCAGACTGGCTTCTTTCACTTAGCAATGTTCATTTAAGGTTCCCCCATGTCTTTGTGTGGCTTGATAGCTTCTTTCTTTTATTTTTTCTTATTTTATTTTATTTTTTTTTGAGATGGAGTCTCATCCTGTCTCATTGCCCAGGCTGAAGTGCCGTGGTGCGATCATGGCTCACTGCAACCTCCACCTCCCAGGTTCAAGCAACTCTTCTGCCTCAGCCTCCTAAGTAACTGGGATTACAGGTGTGCACCACCACACCTGGCTAATTTTTGTATTTTTAGTAGGGACAGGGTTTCACTATGTTGGCCGGGCTGGTCTCGAACTCCTGACCTTGTGATTCCCCTGCCTCGGCCTCCCACAGTGCTGGGATCACAGGTGTGGGCCACGACACTCGGCCTGCTTCTTTCTTTGTATCCCTTAATCATACCCCATTGTGGGGATGTATCACATGTTTATCCACCTACTGATTGAAAGACATCTTAGTTTGCTCCAAGTTTTGGCAATTTATCAATAAAGCTACTATAAGCATTCATGTGCAGGTTTTTGTGTAGACATGTTTTCAGCTCATTTGAGTAAGTGTCTGGGAACATGACCGTTAGATAGACAGTAAGACCATGTAAGCTTTGTAAGAGCGCCAAGTTGTTTTCCAAAGTAGCAATACCATTTTGCATTCCCACCAGCGCTGAATCTGAGTCCCTGTCATTCCACATCCTCACCAGCATTTCATGGTGTCCGTGTTTGGGATTTTAGCCGCTCTAATGGGTGTAGTGGTAGCTCACTGTTTTTTCTTTTTTGGGGTGTTGTGAGACAGTCTTGCTCTGTCACCTAGGCTGGAGTGGAGTGGTGTGATCTTGGCTCACTACAACCTCTGCCTCCCAGGTTCAAGCAATACTCATGCCTCAGCCTTGCAAGTAGCTGGGACTACAGGCATGCACCACCACACCCAGCCAATTTTTTTTTTTTTTTTTTTTTTTTTTAAGTAGAGATTGGGTTTTGCCATGCTGGCCAGGCTGGTCTGGAACTCCTGGGCTTAAGTGATCCACCCGCCTTGGCCTTCCAAAGTGCTGGGATTGTGGGCGTGAGCCACCGCACCCAAATCTCACTGTTTTAATGTGCTATTCACATGCTTATTTGTCAGCTGTACAGGCCTTCTCAGTAGAGGTGTCTGCCTAGATCTTTTGCCCATTTTTTAATTGGGTTGTTTTCTCATTGTTGAGATTTAAGAGGATTTTTTGGTGCATGTTTTGGATACCAGTCCTTTATCAGATATATGCTTTGGAAATATTATTTTCCAGTCTGCGGCTTTTCATTGTCTTACCATTATCTTTTGCAGAGCAGAAGTTCTTGATTTTAATGAAGTTCAACTTAACAGTTTTTTCCTTTCATGATCATGCTTTTGGTATTGTATCTAAAAAGTCAGGCTGGGCATGGTGGCTCATGCCTGTAATCTCAGCACTTTGGGAGGTTGAGGGTGGAGGATTGCTTGAGGACATGAGTTCAAGACCAGCCTGAGCAACACAGGGAGACCCTATCTCTATTAAAAGCTTTTTAAAATTAGCTTGGTGTGGTGGCACACACCTACAGTCTTCGCTACGTGGGAGGCTGAGGTAGGAGGACTGCTTGAGCCCAAGAGTTCAAGGTTACAGTCAGCTATGATTGCACCACCGCACTCCAGCCTGGGCAACATAGTGAGACCTCCATCTCTAAAAAAAAAGTAAAATAAAATTTAAAAACAAGTCATTGTACAACCCAAAATCACTTAAACTTTCTATTATTTTGTAGGAGTTTTAGTTTTACGTGTTGCTTTTAGGTCTGTGTTTTTAACTTTTATAAAAGGCAAAGGATGTCTAAATACATTATTTTGTATGTGGATATCCAGTTGTTCTAGCACCATTTCTTGTAAAAAAAAGATAGGCTTTCTCCAGTTGCCTTTGCTTCTTTTTTTTTTTTTTTAAAAGAAGAGGTTTCACCATGTTGGTCAGGCCGGTCTTGAACTCCTGACCTCAGGTGATCCACCCACCTTGGCCTTCAAAGTGCTTGGATTACAGGTGAGAGGCACCGTGCCCGACCACCTTTGCTTCTTTTTTGTGGCTGAACAGTACTCCATTGTATACATGCGCCACATTTTCTTCATCCATTCATCTGTTCATGGATACTTAGGTTGCTTCCAAATCTTGTGAATAGTGCAATAAATATGGGAGTGCAGGTATCTCTTTGATATTCTGATTTCCTTCCTTTGGGGTATATACCTAGCAGGATTGCTGGATCATGTGGTAGTTCTATTTTTAGTTTTGTGAGGTACTTCCACACTATTCTCCACAGTGGCTTCACTAATTTACATTCCCACCAATGGTGTACAAGGGTTCTCTTTTCTTCACATACTACTTGCATCCATTATTGCCTGCCTTTTGAATAGATGCCATTTTAACTGGGGTGAGATATCTCATTGTAATTTTGGTGTGCATTTCTCTGATGATCAGTGATGTTGGGCACCTTTTCATATATCTGTCATTTGTATGTCTTCTTTTGAGAAAAGTCTATTCAGATCTTATACATTTTAGGACTTTTTTCTATTTCTGTCCATTTTCTAATTGGATTAGTTTTTTTTTCTATAGAGTTGTTTGAGCTCCTTATATATTCTGAGTTATTAATCTCTCATCAGATGGACAGTTTGCAAATATCTTCTCCCATCTGTGGGTTGTCCCTTCACTTTGTTGATGATTTCCTTTGCTGTACGGACGCTTTTTAACTTGATGTGATCTCATTTGTCCATTTCTGCCTTGGTTGCCTGTGCTTTGGGGGTATTACTCAAGAAATCTTTGCCCAGACCAATTTCCTGGAGAGTTTCCCCAAAGTTGCTCTTTTAGTAGTTTCATGGTTTGAGGTCTTCAGGTCTTTAATCCATTTTGTATTGACCTCCTCCTTTTCTGATACAGGCATGTGAAGCTGTACACTTTCCTCTAAGCATTGCCTTAGTTGCATCCAATAAATTTTGATGTTCATCAAAATTTTTCAAGTTCAAAATATTTTTAAATTTCTTTTGTGATGTATAGTTTAGAAGTACATTTAATTTCCAAATGTTTGGGGTTTTATTTCTGGTAGGCATCTCTAACTTAATTCTATTGTGGCCAGAGAACATACTTTGTATGAATTCAGTCTTTCAAAATTTGCCAGGCATGATGCTGTGTGCCTATAGTCCCAGGTACTCAGGAGGCTCAGATGAGAGCATTGCTTGAGCCTAGGAGTTCAAGACCAGTCAGGGCAACATAGCAAGACTCTGTCTCTTTAAATACATTTTTAATAAGTTTAGTTTATTGAGACTTGTTTTGTGGCCTCCTGCAGGTCTATCCTGGAGAATGCTGCATGTGAGATTTACAGCCAAGGAATGTCATTGTGTTGGGTTAAATAACTTGCTTAGACCGATTCTGACTCTCATCTCTCTAGTCTGCAGCTGCTGATCTCTCTTGCTCAGTTTTTTTCACCTTGTTCTTAAATCTAGCTTTCTAGTTTAAAACGTTCTATCTTTCTAGGTTTAAAAATGTCTGCAGAGCTTAGTGGTCAGCTAATTACTGGTCAGAGATTGTGCTCAACACCTCTGATAGCTAGCAAGACTTCCATTCTCTGCTGACGGATCAGAGTTCCAGTTGTTTTCAAGTGTGTCCTGGCTTTTACTTTCTTCTGGGTACTCTTGGTATCTTCAGCCCATGTGAATAGACTCCGGATAACTCTTTGTTGTGGGGGTGGTCCCCTGAGCATTGTACGATGTTTAGCAGCATGCCTGGTCTCTACTCACTAGATGCTGTAACACCTTCCCCCCACCACAGCCCCGCAGTTGTCACAACAAAAACGTCCCAGAAATTGCCATCCCCATTCGAGAAACACTGGTCCAGGGTACATCAATCATAAATTGGATGAAGTCTTTTTTTAGGTTTAAAAAAAAAAAAAAAAGATCATACCATGACATATAATAACCAGCAATATGCACAGTGTATTTATGTATTATTTTAATTTTCACTTTAGGTTCTGGGGTACATGTGCAGGTCATGCAGGGGTGTTGCATAGGCACATACATAACCAGGTGGTTTGCTGCCTCTATTCTCCCTTCATCTATATCTGGCATTTCTCCCCATGTTATCCCTCCCCATCCTCCCCCCAACCCCACTGTCCCTCCCCTAGCACCCCCCCTCCAACTACTCCCAGTGTGTGATGCTCCTCTCCCAGAGTCCACATGTTCTCATTTTTCAGCACCCACCTATGAGTGAGAACATGCGGTGTTTGGTTTTCTGTTCTTGTGTCAGTTTGCTGAGAATGATGGTTTCCAGATTCATCCAAGTCCCTACAAAGGACATGAATGCATCATTTTTTATGGCTGTGTAGTATTCCACGATGTATATGATGCACAGCACATTTCAAAGTTCAAGAGGCACACATCTCCTAACATCAGTGCATTACCTCTTTGTTCAGATATGTACAAACCACAAAATACTCCCCACCTCTCATAGGAACAAAATTAAAATCACAAAATATCTATTGGTCAATAATCCTGACCAAAGATGAGCTGTGTCTGTAGTTCAGTAGATCTGGAATCATGTTGGGAGAATGAGGCTAACGAAATAAGACAAATAGGACTTTCTCCGGAGCAATTCTCATCTTTGAGATGAGATATAATGACAGACAGCAGTGGGTGAGGGCTGCTTGTCTCATATGGAATAAGCTAACAACCACCGTTTGTCATGTACGGTAGGCAAAATAATGGCCCCAAGTTTCAACATCCACATCATGATACCCAGAATCTGTGAGTGTTTCAAGGCAAATGGGACTTTGCAGGTGTGATTTAAGAATCTGGAGATGAGGTTTATCAGGCCCAATGTAAATACAAGGGTCCTTAGAAGAGGGAGGTAGGAGGGTCAGAGGAGATGTGAGGCTGGAAGCAGAGGTTGGAGTGTTGTGGGGCCACCAGCCAATGAATACACAAGGAATTCTAGAAGCTGGAAAAAGCAGAGAAACATTCTCTCCTAGGGCCTGCAGAAGGGAACAAGCTCTTGATTTTGGCACAGTGAGACCCAATTCAAACTTCTGATCTCCAGAGCTGTAAAATAAGTGTGTGTGAGTGTGAGTGTGTGTGTGTGTGTGTGTGTTTCTTTTTTGAGACCAAGTCTCACTCTGTTGCCCAGGCTGGAGTGCAGTTGCATCCTAGGTTCAAACAGCTCTCGTGCCTCAGCCTCCCAAGTAGCTGCGATTACAGGCATGTGCCACCTCGCCTGGCTAATTTTTGTATTTTTAGTAGAGATAGGGTTTCACCATGTTGGCCAGGCTGGTCTTGAACTCTTGACCTCAGGTGATCTGCCTGCTTCAGCCTCCTAAAGTGTTAGGATTACAGGCGTGAGCTACTATGCTCGGACCAAATTTGTGCTATTTTAAGGCACTAAGTTTACAAGTTTACAGTAATTTGCTACCGTAGCCACAGGAAACCAACAGACCACAACCGTACCGTGTGAAGTTGGTCCAGTCTCCCAGACCAATTGGTTGCTGGCCACGAATTCTACCTTTACTTTCTAGGGAGGCCATTTGGTGTGGAGGTGAAGCCTGGGTGCTGCGGGGTTGTGTTCAAACACAGCTACTCCTGTGTAACACGGACAAGTGATTTGACCTGTCTTGGTCAGTCACCCTTAGGGAAGAAAGGGAAATAAGGGCGCCCATCCAGTGCGGTGAGAATTCAAATGAAGCAACGCCATGCGAACTGCTTAGCAAAGGCCTGCTGCATATGACACCTGCTCTTAGTCTCATCATCATGACCCTCTTGCCCATTTCTGTCACCCCTCCTAGTGTGTCTACGGCGGAGTCCTGAGAGGAACTGGGAAGCAGGCCTTTGGTGCCGCTGTGAATGCCATCACGTATTATGTCATCGGCCTACCACTGGGCATCCTTCTGACCTTTGTGGTCAGAATGAGAATCATGGGTATGTGGTGTGAGGAAGCTGGGAGAGGCCTGGGTGGTTGCCGCACATTCTTCCCGTTATCACTTGTCTCCTCCAGGCCTCTGGCTGGGCATGCTGGCCTGTGTCTCCCTGGCAACTGCTGCCTTTGTTGTGTATACTGCGCGGCTGGACTGGAAGCTTGCTGCGGAGGAAGTAAGTGGGTCAGCTGCCCCTGGCCATAAGACACACCCTGCACCTGACCCCACCAGGCAGAGTGACTACTCAGCCAGAAATGCCCAGAGCACTTAAGAACTTCGCAGCAGTGTGGTATAAGCTGCGGGTGTTTTGTGGGGGATTATAGAGGGACCACCTGAGCCTCAACAGTGACTCCTGTTACTGTAATTGGCCAGTATAAAAAGCACGCTCTGCAGTTATAAAGAGAAACAAAATCAAAAACCTTCCTTAGACAGCCCCATCTGCAGAAAAGCAAACGCAAAGAACTCAAACTAGTCTGTACCCAGATGAACTTCCAGGCGTGTGCCTTAACTTTGGAAGGGGTAATAAAATCCCCCTGCCCACCATCCTCTTTGATGTCCTTTTTAAACAGGGCAGGGCAGCCTTTGCTTCTCAGGCACAGCAAAGGCACAACTCGGTCTGCAAGCAGAGCACAGAAGCAATGTTCTCTCAAAGACCCTGAATCCTATCAGAGTGTGGTTTTGCTTTTGTGCACAGAAAAAGCCATCCTGGCACTTAAGACAATGGATAAACAGATTTTTAATGATTTATTTATTTAGTTATTTGAGATGGAGCATTGTTCTGTTGCCCAGGATGAAGTGCAGTGGTCCGATCGTGGCTCACTGCAACCTTTGCCTCCTGGTATCAAGAGATTCTCTTGCCTCAGCCTCCTGAGTAGCTGGGATTATAAGCATGCGCCACCATGCCCAGCTGAATTTTTTGTATTTTTGGTAGAGACAGTGCTTCACTATATTGCCTGGGCTAGTCTTGAACTCCTGAGCTCAAGCAATCCACCTGGCTCAGCCTCCCAAAGTGCTGGGATTATAGGCATGAGCTACCGTGCCCAGCTTTAAAATGATACTTTCTTTTTTTTTTTTGAGACGGAGTTTCACTCTTATTGCCCAGGCTGGAGTGCAATGGCGCAATCTCAGCTCACCGAAACCTCCACCTCCTGGGTTCAAGCAATTCTCCTGCCTCAGCCTCCCCAGTAGCTGGGACGACAGGCATGTGCCACCGTGCCCAGCTCATTTTTTGTATTTTTAGTAGAGACGGGGTTTCACCATGTTGATCAGGATGGTCTCAATCTCTTGACCTCATGATCCACCTGCCTCAGCCTCCCAAAGTGCTGGGATTATAGGCGTGAGCCACCGCACCCGGTCTTGCAATGTTTTAAAAGCAGAGAATGCGAGGCCAGTGGTGAAGGGGTGAACTGCTGAGCTGGCAGGTTGACCCAAGCAAGTTCTTTCTCTTTTAGGCTAAGAAACACTCAGGTCAGCAGCAGCAGCAAAGAGCAGAGAGCACTGCAACCAGACCTGGGCCTGAGAAAGCAGTCCTATCTTCAGGTAATGTGCTAACATGGCTGCCTCTACTTTGGTACACACATACACATCAGTGGCACGTTGCTCCTATCTGCCCTCTGTGCCTCTGCTTACAAGCCCAAGCTCTTTTTCTTCCCATTATTATGAAAATGATGTCCTAAGCACCAGGAAGACAACAATACCTACTGTCTAACAGGCATGCAAGTACCAGGCCCTACACCAAGTCCTTGGCCTTGAGAGGCAACTGGATGTATGCCCATTTTCAGATGCGGAAGTGAGGCTGAAAGAACGTCCATATTTCTGGCTGGGCGCAGTAGCTCACGCCTGTAATCCCAGCATTTTGGGAGGCCAAGTCGGGTGGATCACAAGGTCAAGAGATCAAGACTATCCTGGCCAACATGATGAAACCCTGTCTCTACTAAAAATAGAAAAACTAACTGGGCGTGGTGGCGGGCGCCTGTAATCCCAGCTACTCAGGAGGCTGAGGCAGGAGAATCACTTGAACCCGAGAGGCAGAGGTTGCAATGATTCAAGATTGTGCCACTGCACTCCAGCCTGGGTGAGAGAGGGACTCTGTCTCAAAAAAAAAAAAGAACTTCCGTATTTCCCCCATCATTCCACAACTCATAAAGGCCAGAGATAAAATCTGAGCATCAACCCGTCAAATGCTAAAGCTCACAATCTCCCCCACTGAACTCTGCTCAGGACGGAAGGCCAACTTTTAACCTACAGCTGCCAGTCTGGGGATCCTGGCTTGTCAGTTGGCCTGGCTTGACTCACTGGCTTTGGGGGGACCTGCTATCTGCCTCTCTCTACCCCATCAGCAGATGAGCGTCTCTCTGGTTTATGCCCAATGTCCATGTCATGAAGTGATGGCCCCAGCTCTGCCCCAGGGCTGGTCCTGAGTGCCAGGTGTGTGTGCAAATGGTCCGAAGCTCATTCAGATGAGGTCTCCATGACCTCATCCATCCTGGGCTCATCCTTGATCAGGGCAATAGTGAAACAGCTAAAACTCTGGAAGCTTAAGTTGTCATGAGAGAATATAGTAAGACACAATTAATTGTTTCCCATGTGCTTTTGAAGCCATCGATCATCACAAGGCCAAGCGCTAACGAAAACATTCCTCATCAGATCCCGGTAGTAAGCATTATCTGCATGTGAAATTCACAGTTTAAGATGCTTTCCCACATATCTCCTCCTCTGATCTTGCTTGTCAAGCAGATAAAGCAGGTATTTTTCGACTATATAGGCATGATCTCTTGTGAGGTGTAGCAAATGCAGCCAGGTGATTAGGATAGGCTTCCTGATTCTAAGGCCAGAGCTCTCCCACTCACCCCTGGCCTACTGAGTTTACTCCTGTTTGCTTCTGCAGTGGCTACTGGGAGTTCCCCTGGCATTACCCTGACAACGTATTCAAGGTCTGAGTGCCATGTGGACCTCTTCAGGACTCCAGAGGAGGCCCATACCCTTTCAGATCCTACCAGCAGACTGTCAGTGAAACAGCTGGTCATCCGCCGTGGGGCTGCTCTGGGGGCGGCGTCAGCCACACTGCTGGTGGGGCTCGCAGTCAGAATCCTGACCACCAAGCACTAGCAATGAAGCTCAGAAACAGAAAGCCAGGAGTGGCCATTCCCAGTACCCAAACACACCATGGTCTGCCCTGCAGAAGTGCCAATGGGGTCCAGGGCAGGTGGACACTTTGAACCACTCCTCAGAAAAAGAACTTTGGCTGATTCCTTGCGGTGACATTCAGAGGGGTCTGAACAGAGCAGACTGGCCATTCTGTTCTGGTTAAACTGGAGTTTTCTTCTCTGACCTGGATTGCTCTATAGAAGACATCAGCCAAATGCATGAATCAGAGTCCAGGGATTGCCACTATTATGAATAATGTAAATGGCTTCAAGTGAGAGACTGCAGATAAAATAACAAAACCACTATTACATTAAAGATTACACATTTCCTAGGCACAGCCTGCTACTCAAACCTGTCATAAAGCCTCTGTGAAGCTCGGAGAAGGGGGCCAGTGGGCCCTGTCCAGGCAACCCCTGTAGGCCCCTAGCAGACATAGGTGCTGTGAGACCCTGACCAGGGCGGCTGACTGTCCATACACCCTTCTTCCCCTTTTCTCCAGTTCTTTCATTCCATCGCCATTTTCACTTATTAAAGGCTTTGAGAAATGCTCGTTCTCACTGTACTTTTTCTTCGAGTAGTGACATGATATAAATAAGGGCACAAAACAACCAGGAACAGAGCATAGCAAAGTCATCACTGAAGCAATTCCAGACTCTGTGCCACTGTTTGCCCAAGTGTGCTCCACGGTTAACGGGTATTAAGATAAACCGCACGGCGTCAAGGAAGTCTGGGAAAGCGCTTCAGAGGTTCCGAAATACTTGGGTCCTTTAGTTTGCTGACGTGCTTTACAAGCCAGTGTTATACAGGACTGGTGGAGGGACCATTTTTTGTGTAAAATCTTGTGGGATTAGTGTTCTATGAATATGCTTACAGAAACACTTGTTGTAGATCAGCAACTGGGGGTAGGAGGATGCCAAAAATCTTCTCGGCTAAGTTTTTTTTTCTTTTTTTTTTTTTTTTGAGACAAGAGTTTTGCTCTTACTGCCCAGGCTGGAGTGCAATGGCATGATCCCAGCTTATCACAACCTCTGCCTCCTGGGTTCAAGCGATTCTCCTGCCTCAGCCTCCCGAGTAGCTGGGATTACAGGCGTGCACCACCATGCCTGGCTAATTTGGTATTTTTAGTAAAGACAGGGTTTCTCCATGTTGGTCAGCCCATCAATGGGCTGGTCTCAAACTCCTGACCTCAGGTGATCCGCCTGCCTCAGCCACCCAAAGTGCTGGGATTACAGGCATGAGCCACCGTACCTGGCCTTGACTAAAAATTTTAAAATGAGAAAGCATGACAAAACAAGTTGACAAATACCATCTATGATAAAGACATAAAAGGATTTATAGTTGGGGAAAATTTATGATCAAAGGACTGCCTCCAATGGGGCATATCTGAGGTTCCACACTAAGAGTGTCATTAAAATTGATGCCAATTTTATGAAATACATTCATTTTGAAGCAGATATGTGTTAGTGGACAAGCCAATAATTGAAACATACCAAATGAAAATTCCATAGTGCAATTTTATCTAAGGTATTTTATGATTACTCTCTTAGAGCCACAGTTTAAAGCAGCTTTTTCCTAAACTAGGCTGGTTATTAATTCTTGACACTTTATGCTACGATGAAGACATCACATACTTGAGACAGCCTTAATAAAACCAATTATTCAACAAAGTTGATTATACATTCTATAAATTACATTCTCTCATTGAGTTAGCTGAGTCTTTTTGAGTGTGGGGACGTGGAGTCCCTGTAGTCAGGAGCTCGAAGGCACAGCACAACACCGCCCTGCCCTGCCCTGCCCAGCAGTAACACTGCATTCCACAGGCCTCTTCTTCAGCCTTGTCCACTCAGCTGAGTACCTCAGGTGGTTGCCACAGCGACTGATGAGAATAACTTCTCACTTGCTCAAGGGATCCTCTTGCCATCCGTCCCCTTCGGTATGACCAACTGCAGTGGCTTGCTTGCTTCTTCTCTAGAGCATCCACCATCTGTCTGCCCCACGAAGCTCTCAAACCACAAAGTCATAAGATCCAAGGCCTCTTTGTGAGAGGAAATGGTTCCCTCATTTTAAGTTCTGTAGGCTATTTAGAAAGGGATCTCTCTATAGTTTAAAAAAGTGAAATTTTACTCGCACTGTGCTACTCAAATAAGAAACTTTACAGATTTGTCCTTGAAGACCTATTAACCTGCAACTTTAGGGTCCTGAAAGAGGGTAAGTATGTTTATAAGTACTTTTATCACAGTATTTTTTTGTTTATTTGTTTCAGAGACAGGGTCTTGCTCTGTCGCCCAAGCTGGAGTGCAGTGGTGCAATCACAGCCCACTGAAGCCTCAATCAATCCTCCTGCTTCAGCCTCCCGAGCAGCAGGGACCACAGGCACATGCCAATACACTTAGTTCTAATTTTTTGGTAGAGATGTGGTCTCACTATGTTGTCCAGGCTGGTCTGAAATTCCTGGACTCAAGTGATCCTCCCGCCTTGGCCTCCTAAAGTGCTGGGATTACAGGCATGAGCCACCACTCCCGGCTACAGTATTTTTTAAATGCCAGTTAGGTTTTATAAGATATAGAATTCTGGCCGGGCGTGGTAGCTCTTGCCTGTAATCCCAGCACTTTGGGAGACCGAGGCAGGAGGATCACCTGAGGTCAGGAGTTCAAGACCAGCCTGGCCAACATGATGAAACCCTGTCTCTACTAAAAATACAAAAATTAGCAGATGCCTATAATCTCAGCTACTTGGGATGCTGAGGCAGGAAAATTGCTTGAACCCAGGAGGTAGAGGTTGCAGTGAGCCGAGATCACACCACTGCACTCCAGCAAGACTCTGTCTCTGAAAAAAGATGTATACTTCTATACTTTCAACACAAGAATGACAGGTGATGCTTGTATGACTTCGGCAACTAAGTTCCAGGAAGCCCTAGGATTTACAAGATGCTTTGAGTGGTATTAGTCACAAGAGATTGTTGCAACTAAACAAAACGCAGGATGATGGAGAATGAATGAGGAAGAATGAACACCACTGGTGAGATGGCACTTCTGACCAGAGGCCTGACTCCTGGAGGTCAAGTCCTTGAGTCCCACTGGAGGAGGAATAACCCCTCCCTTCCCCACATAGAGCTTTAGTGCCTGATATCTCATAGGGAACTGGGAAGATCTAACCTCACCTCTGGACTACAGAGGACTGCTGGTAGCCCTGGGAAGTACCAAGCTCTTGAAAGCTTCACACAATGACAGGGGCAGCAGGTGGGCAGTGTCATTAACTGGAGTCAAGGACTCACTGAGTTGGTTCTGAGACTCCCTTACATGCCCCCAAAGTTTGTATTTAGTCTAATACATTCTCCTCCCCTAGCTCAAAGCTCCAAGATTTGGATAAGCACAATCTAAGATAGGTTCCCTGAATATCCTATTAGGGAATGTTGGGATTTGGCTAAAATGGCAAGTTTTATTAATGATGAATGGCAATGACCTTTAAGTTTGATCACAGTGTGTCTGCATATTTTCTTACTATTTTTGGTAGGATTTAAAAATTATTGGTTCATTAACCATTTAAAAGAGGAATAATTCAGTAGAGGCACTATGAGGTTGAACAGGATCATTCTTCAGTAATATTCAGCCTGGAGAGAGGAGAAAGGGATCCAGTTTACTCAGCTGCTTTGAAAACCCACCCACAGCCAGCCTTGCAACACAAGCTCAGCACTGGGACTCTCCTCCTGTCTAAGAAACTCTACATGCATTGTACAAAAAGAGCCTACATATCCCTAGGAAGCACAGGAAATGTGGTTTGGGCTAAAGGATTATGCCCTTCCTCAAAAAACAACAATAACAATAATGAGGCAGCATGATGATGGAGGCTATATTCTGTCCACTGTCAATTAGCTGATGTCAGAGTAGAGACCTAAGATGAAAGTACTAATTTACTATCCTAGCATTTTCAGTAGGAAGCTGAAGTCTCTACACGGAATTCAAAAACTGATAAACGAATTTTTGTTTCTAAAATTCAAAAGGAGGCCGGGCATGGTGGCTCACACCTGTAATCCCAGCACTTTGGGAGGCCGAGGTGGGCAGATCACAAGGTCAAGAAATCGAGACCATCCTGGCCAACATGGTGAAATCTCATCTCTACTAAAAATACAAAAATTAGCTGGGCATGGTGGTACATGCCTGTATTCCCAGCTATTCGGGAGGCTGAAGCAAGAGAATCACTTGAACCCAGGAGGCAGAGGTTGCAGTGAGCTGAGATCGTGCCACTGCACTCCAGCCTGGCGACAGAGCGAGACTCCATCTCAAAAAAAAAAAAATTCAAAAGTAGTACTGAATTTAATCCATACTATTGAAGCCCGAGGAAGGGATGTTGCAATCTCAAGGTCTGAATGTCATACTTGGTTGTCAAAGGCCTAATGACATTTATCAACATTAACCTCTTATGTTTCTCAACCTTTTAAAACCCACATCTCCCACAACGCCTTTTGTAGCTTATAAGCTTTATTGGAACTTTATTTTGTGTGCAGTACTTGTGCTAATTCTCATAAGGTAATTAATAAAATCAAATCCAAGGACATAACAAAATAAGGAAACTATTAAGTACATAAAAGCCATTTCAGAAAAATGTTTGTAATTACAATAAATAGACCCCTCAGTAGTCTATTTTGAATACAGATTCAATACTCCTCTGTATTTTGAATATAGATTTAAAGTCATTTGTTTAAAGTAAAAGGTAATCTGATAAAAAGAGGATTAAAAGCTCAGAGAGGAGCAGAAAAGCAGCAGAGTGGAAAAGAAAACCAAATCTCTACCTGGCTCCAGACCGAATCCAAAGAAATATTAACAGCTAACAGTAATGAGAATTGAGAGAGAGGGTTGACAGTGGCCTGGGGAATCACTGACATCTACTCCCTCATCCTATAAATGAGCAAGCTGAGGCCCAAGGAAGAGCTCAGAAAAGGCTTTGGCCCAACGTCATAATTAAGTCAACATCAAGCCAGGAATCAAAACACATTTTCTTGTTCCTGCTAAAGATTTTATATGTTGCTGCTTCTCTAGACCCTCACACAGAAACATGTCTGCCAAACCATTCTGGGAACTCAAACCTCCCTGGCACAGGACACTGTCCCTGGGGGAGCTTCTTGGGAGTTTGGTAAGCCTAGAGAATGCAGACTCAGCCTGGACCTCCATATTTTCCATGAAGCTAAAAAAATTCTATCCCAACCAAGATGCATTATCAAGCTGGGGGAATGAGGTCTTGGGATAGTAACGTAAGAGGCAGACAACGATCAGAGGCCCAAGCAAGCCTCTGACCCCACCTCCAGCCTCAGGAAGGGAGAGAAGAAAGTAGATCGCCCCTAAATTGCATACTACACCTTGATTCACAACATTTGCTGCCATGAATCCCAAAGTCAAACCTTATTTAAAAAATGAAAACAAATCAAAACTACTCAGTGATTTTTAAAATACTATTAAATTATGACACAAAGAGGTTAGTGCCCAGATGGTGACAAGTCTCAGTTAGTCAGCTGGCATTTCCTCCAGGACAGTTGAGTAGATGGGGAAGAGACACAAGGCTCACACTCGGCTGCCCTGTTCCTAGAAATGATGTATGCTTCACCTGGACCCAACTAAGCCACTGCCTCTGCAGACTTCTCTTAGATTCCGAGCAGGTCGCCCGATCCTTTTAAAACTGTGGATAAGCGGAGTTTTAACATCCTGATACTCTCGGCCCAAGTCCAAAATGTCTAGAGACACGTAAGTTAAGCATTCTTTTTTCAATAACGCCTAAGCCTCCAACTGTAGAAAAAGAAAACAAAAACAAACCAAAAAAAACCCTTGACAATACACCCCCACTTGGCCCACCTTATATAGAGAAAGAAAACAAGAAGTTCCTACCTCACTCTTAACAGACAGGGCTGGGTTTTGAAATCTGCTGTTCATCTCTGTTTAGTGGACCAACGCAGTCTGTGAACTACCAGAAAAATCAACAGGGCCTTTCTCCTCAGCACAGCTTGGTATTTCTGAGAAAACCCAAATGATTTCAAATGCAACTGTTATCTCCAATTCCACTAAAGCTGGGATACTGTAAGACGAGCCAATCCTCCTTCAAATTTTAAACAAAATATAAACACAGCTATTTCCATTGCCTTTTCCAAGCCCATTCTTCACGGATGTGGTCGATATTTTCAATTTTATCTCCGCTGAGGGTGCCACAGACATAATCACCTTCCTCATTCCATCTTAACGTTAATTATCATGGATTTCTTCTTTTACCCCAAGATACGCAAACTGCCTTGAGAAGGCCTCTTTGCAAGCCCACCTCTATAATGACTGATCACCAAAGATAAACTTTATCAGGTAGTCAACTCTGGGGGAAAAGCACTCAAGCCTAATAAAATATCCCTCACCAAAGCTCTTTCACCAGCACTACCATCCACCAGAGTTCTTGCCTCCATCTCCATGGCAAGCTGATTTCATGCACATTCAAGAACAAAGCTGGGAGTGACAAGGAAAATCCAATACCAAAGGATCAAAGGGTTAGACAGCTCAGAATTTTGCAAGCAAGTTCTACACCGTTTTAACTGTTAGACCAGAGGTCAGCAAACTTTTCTGTAACAATTTAGGCTTTGAGGGCCATTCAGCCTCTGTTGCAACTACTCAGCTCTGTCACCATCCCGTGAAAGCAGCTGTGGATAAGTGGGTGCAGTTGTGTTCCAGCAACTTTAGTGACAAAAGCAGGTAGCTGGCCAACAGGCTATGGTTCACTGACCCTGTCTTAAGACTCTACAAGTTAATGTAGAATCTTGCTAGAATATGCATCTGGCAGCCATCAGGCCAGGACCACAACAAATGGCACTCATGGGTAACACGGACTCACCTTGACAAGCACAGCTGCTACAATACCCAGGAAAGTGAGGAACAGGAGACCAAGTTTTTGTTTGTTGAATCGTTTCAAGAGAAAAAATTTTCCCCAGTCCACCTTTGACTGGCTGTTGGGGGGATATCTGAGTTTGTTAGCACCTTCTCTCTTTAAACTTTTTAATAAACAGGGACGCTGATGAGAAAAAGTATCGAAACTGTGTTTTCCATGATAAGCTCCCATTCCACTGGAACCTGAAGTAAAGGGAACAGACAAAGCAAGCTTCACTGTAGATGATGCAAGCTACTTCTGTCTAACAATGACCAAGAAAGCCCACGTGTACTCCCTGCTGCCTGGGTGTCCCCACTGAAACTCTCTGGCAGCCGAATTATCTCTTTTCAGGAAGTCATTACCAACTTCCCTGGAAAAGTCAATGTCCCTGTCAAACAGGATGCTTTCCAAGAGCAAGACAAGGACTGGCACCTCTGCTAGGGCTGTGACCCTCATATATGCCAGGGACTGTGCTAAGAGTTTAAATCATTCTCTTAAGATAATTCTCACCACAATCCCACTTGGTGAATTATCGGCAGCCTCATTTCCAGAGAAAGAAAGGGAGCTTACAGGGTCAGTTAACTTGCGCAGGGTCACATGGCTGGTAAGTGGCAAACCCAGAACCTGAACCCAGATCAGACTCTGAATGCTACGTGTGCTCTCTTCCCATTCCATGTGGCTTCATTCATCCATGGCCCCACTCACCCACCTGTTTTCTCTAAGCCTGTAGAAAGTAAGAGTGACAGAGTTGCACAGCTGGGTGATAATAAGCAAGTATAAATCTCTGACCTCCATAAAGCCATGCTCTGTGACAGTTTTCATTTCTCTAATTCATTGTGTATACAACAAACTGACAGGCACAAACAGGAGCAGTGTCTGCTGGGCAGAGGGAATGGCATGTGTGACGTAAGACACAGGTGACCAGAGGCCAGGGAGCAGTTTACCAGGGTTAGGCTGCAGGAAGGAATCATTCATGAAGCAGCCCTGGTTTGAGAAGAGACCCGAGGACAAGACCTTGAGAAACCCTGACAATGAGGGAGGGTAAAGAATGAGGGAGGGGCCAGCCAATGACATAACCAAGGTAGTAAGAAACTGGGAAAATTTTGGGAGGTTGACACAGGAGGACTGCTTGAGCCCAGGAGATCAAAGTTGCAGTGAGCTCTGATTGGGCCACACTGCATTCCAGCCTGGTCAACAAAGCGAGATCCTGTCTCAAAAAATAAATAAATAAAAAGCAAAAAACTGACATAAAGGAAATTACAAAGTTTTGTTTAAAGATATAAAAGGGTTATATAAATGAAGAGATGATAAAACACATTCCCATTAAGACTCCACATTTTAAAGATATAAATTCTTCCCAAAATAATTTAAGTTTAAATCAATTTTAATCAAAATCCCAGGGGATTTCAGAAGGTTTTTTTGCTTTTCCTTTTTTTTTGAGTAGGAGAAGGTAGCGATTCCAAAGATCATCTGGAAAAATAAATTTAGATAAGAACTAGAGAAAACACTGAAAAACAATAATAATGAGAAACTTTAACATTCAGATATTTCAATAGTGCTGCGTCCTAAAGAGCAAGCTACTGGGTTGGTTGAATTTATGGGTTTTAGAGTCAGGCAACTTTGGCTCGTTTCTTAGTTGTTTTAATAAGACAACTTATTAGCTGTCTATCTCTAAAATGTGTGCATTTGGCCAGGCATGGTGGCTCATACCTGTAATCCCAGCACTTTGGGAGGCTGAAGTGGGAGGGTTGCTTGAACCCAGGAGTTCAAGACCAACTTGGGCAACACAGTGAGACCCCATCTCTACAAAAAAAATTTTTCTTAATTACCCAGGCACAGTGGTGCACACTTGTAGTCCCAGCTCCTCAGGAGGTTGAGGTGGGAAGATTGTCTGAGCCCAAGAGGTTGAGGCTGCAGTGAGCCATGATTGCACCACTGTACTCTAGCCTGAGTGACAGTGGAGACCATATCTCAAAAAAGAAAAGAAAAGAAGGCTGGGCTTGGTGGTGCACGCCTGTAATCCCAATACTTTGGGAGTCTGAGGCGGGCAGATCATGAGATCAGGAGGTTGAGACCATCCTGGCCAAGATGGTGAAACCCCGTCTCTACTAAAAATACATAAATTATGTGGGTGTTGTGGCGTGCACCAGTAGTCCCAGCTACTTGGGAGGCTAAGACAGGAGAATCACTAGAACTAGGGAGGTGGTTTCAGTGAGCCAAGATCACGCCACCGCACTCCAGCCTAGGCAACTGAGCAAGACTCCATCTCGAAGAAAAAAAAAAGAAAGGCAGGGATTCAACCGCAGCACCTGGCATGTAATAAGCACTTACTAAATATCACTTATAAAGAAAGCTAACTGTACAACGACTGCAATTTAAACTGTGGTACTGACCAACAGAAAAAACAAACCAGAAAGATGAGAAAACCCTAAGAATGTCCCAAACATGTGTACCAATGGTATAAGGATGATTATTTCAAAAAATGGCACCAGCATAATTAGTTTACTCTTTGAAAAAAAAAAAAAAAACAGATTATTACATCATACAGCATTCTAAAGTAAACTCCATGGCAGTTTTTTATTTCTTATTTTTGAGACGGAGGCTCACTCTGTCACTCTGTTGCCCAGGCTGGAGAGCAGTGGTGCAATCTTGGCTCACTGCAGCCTCTACCTCCCAGGTTCAAGCGATTCTCCTGCCACAGCCTACAGACTAGCTGGGACTGCAGGTATGTGCCACCATGGCCAGCTAATTTTTTTTGTATTTTTAGTGGAGATGGGGTTTCACCATGTTGGCTAGGCTGGTCTCAAGATCTTGACCACCTGCCTTGCCTTTCCAAAGTCCTGGGATTATAGGTGTAAGCTAACATGTCTGGCCAACTCTATGGTTAAATGTTAAAATTAAAAAGAAAAAAAAGAAACTGCAGATACTTATTTTATTATTTGCTTATTTATTATTATTTTTAAGACAGAGTCTTCGCTCTGTTGCCCAAGCTGGAGTACAGTGGCACGATCTCTGCTCACTGCAACCTCCACGTCCCAGGTTCAAGCTATTTTCCTCCCTCAGCCTCCTGAGTAGCTGGGATTACAGGCAGTGCCACCAGGCCTGACAAATTCTTTTGTATTTTTAGTATAGACAGGGTTTCACCATGTTGGCCAGGTGCCTTGGCCTCCCAAAGTGCTGGGATTATAGGCATGAGCCACTGCGCCTGGCTTATAGATGATATTTATATAATGCTGAAGTGGGGAAAGCTTTCCTAAGCCTACTTTCCAAATCAGAAACCAAAAACCAAAAAGCCACACAGGTTTAGGCTGGGTACTAGTGGCTCATGCCTGTAATCCCAGCACTTTGGGAGGCTGAGGAGGGCGGATCACCAGAGATCAGGAGTTGTGGAGACCGGCCCGGCCAACATGGTGAAACCTCAACTCTACTAAAAATACAAAAATTAGGTGGGTGTGGTGGCGGGTGCATGCAATCCCTGCTACTCGGTAGGCTGAGGCAGGAGGTGGGGGTTGCAGTGAGCTCAGATAGTGCCACTGCACTCCAGCCTGGGTGACAAGGGCAAGACTGTGTCTCAGAAAATAAATAAAATACAATAAATAAATGTTTCAAATCATAGATAAAATTAAAACAAAAATTAAAATCTGGAAAGGGATATGTGTTACAGATAGGACTGAGGATTTCCTTACTTATAAAAAAAAAAAAGACTACTTATATACCAATAAGGAAGATGTGAACACAGCAAAAATATCAAAGGACATAAACAGAAAATTCATGAGAGTACTAAAAATAAATTCAAACTCACTAATAATCAAAGGAGTACAAATTAAAATGAGACCCTTTTCTTTCTGTCTAGAAATTTAGTAATGGAATAATCCAGAATTAGGGTATAAGGAAGTAAATGCTCACATACTGTTCATGGGAATACGAAGTGGCAGAAATCTGCAAAGACACTTGAAATATGTATCAAAAGCTTTAAAGATCATGCATTTCTAAAGAAAAACCTAGGCCGGGCGTGATGGCTCATGCCTGTAATTCTAGCACTTTGGAAGGCCAAGGCAAGTGGATCTCTTGAGCCCAGGAGTTTGAGAACAGCCTGGCTAACTTAGCAAAACCCTGTCTTTACAAAAAATATAAAAATTAGCTGGGCATGGTGGCGTGCACCTGTAATTCTAGCTATTGGGATGCTGAGTCAGGGTAATTGCTTGAACCTGAGAGTTGGAGGTTGCAGTGAGCTGAGATTGCACCATTGCACTCCAGCCTGGGCAACATGGTGAGACTTAGTCTCAAAAAAAGAAAAAAAAAAACAAGAAAAATCTAAACTATATGCCAAAATATTAATAGTGTTTATGCCTGGGAGGTTATTACATTTTTTGTTAAAGTTTAACTGTTTAGACTTTTTGCTGCTGTGTCTATGTTACTTTGAGAATTAGAAGAAAAAAAGCATGTTTTTCAATTTGGAAAATTGTATAAGCCCTTTTAACACAGTAATTACACTTCCAGACGTTTTTCCTAAAGAAATAATCAGAGATTACATAAAGATACATTACATAAGAATCATACCAGAAAAACTGAAATCTGATACTGGATTTGGTTACATAAATATGCCACATTAGTATGATGAAAGAGTATGCAGTTACTAAAATTATGACATGAAGAATACTGACATGGGAAATTGTCACACTATCCTGTCGCATACAGGGTACAGAATATATAATATGATACCTTTTTGAATAGAATATTCAAGTGTCTGTCTATATGTGTGTGCAGGTATGTGCAAGACATATACCAGTTATCTTTACATAGCGGGGTTATGAATAACATAAATGTTTATTCTTTGGGCTCTTCTATCTTTTCCAAGTTTTCTTAAAAAACCTGTATTCCTTTTACATTTGGGGGTCAAGGCTTGTTTTTTTTAAAATTTATTTACTTTTTCTACAGCATGGCCACTATAATAATGTATTATATGCCTGAAATTTGCCAAGACAGTAGACCTGTTTTTTTCTTTTGTGTCTTTTTTTTTTTTTTTTGAGACGGAGTTTCGCTCTTGTTACCCAGGCTGGAGTGCAATGGCGCGATCTCGGCTCACCGCAACCTCCGCCTCCTGGGTTCAGGCAATTCTCCTGCCTCAGCCTCCTGAGTAGCTGGGATTACAGGCACGTGCCACCATGCCCAGCTAATTTTTTGCATTTTTAGTAGAGACGGGGTTTCACCATGTTGACCAGGATGGTCTCGATCTCTCGACCTCGTGATCCACCCGCCTCGGCCTCCCAAAGTGCTGGGATTACAGGCTTGAGCCACCGCGCCCGGCCCTTCTTTTTGTATTTTTAATTTTTATGAGTACATAATATGTTGTTTGTTTTATTTTCATTTTTGAGATGAAGTCTTGCTCTGCTGCCCAGGCTAGAATGCAGTGGTGTGATCTCGATCCACTACAACCTCTGTCTCCCAGGTTCAAGTGATTCTCCTGCCTCAGCCTCCCTAGTAGGTGGGACTACAGGCACGCACCACACCTGGCTAATTTTTTTATTTTTAGTAGAGATGGGGTTTCACCATGTTGGCCAGGCTGGTCTTGAACTCCTGACCTCAAGTGATCCACCCACCTCAGACTCTCAAAGTCCTGGGATTGAAAGCAAGAGCCATGGCACCCAGCCTTGTTTTGTTTTAAATATGATGGTATAGTCAATGATGCCACAGGCTACCTTGTCAAGCAGGACAGGGACTGAACCCAAGTCACTTAGATTTGCAATTAGAGGGCACTGGAGACACCATATAGAACAATTACAGAGTGGACTGCTGCAGTAGCACAGTGGATGCCAGGATCTATGTGATGAGCTGAGGAACTAGAGACAATGGAGCCCAATCTTTTAAGCATTTGGGCTACAAAACTATTAGTTACTCGAGCCAAAATCCCAGGAGTCATCCTCTTTCATTCACCCCCTCCTCCAACATTCACTCAGTCCTGCCAAACTGGGCCATTCCATCCCATGGAGCAAATGATTTATGGTATTACAAAGGGAGAGGATAGAACAGGGCTTCAAGACGGTGGCTTTTATGGTTTGCTTTTTGTTATGAGAACGTTTGCATCTTGGCTATTTTGTAATATCTCTGTTAGATAGTAGAGAAGCCCACCTAGCCTATGTCCCAAAGGAGAAAAAGCTGAGTCAGTCATCTCACACGTCGGCGAGGGAGACAAGTCATGTTCTAAAGGGAACAGTAAGGATCAGGCTATGGCCATAAAGCTTCACTTAGAATGAATTTTTTCCTGCTCGCCCTCTCTAGAACAGGGGGCTTCTCGTTCTACTCAAATCACAAAACAATTAAAGGAGAGGCTGCTCTTCCCAACAAAGGGCTGGGAAACAATGCAGGTAAGAACTGAGCAGAAACCAAAGATACATTTAAAAACTCCTCAAGCTGCGGTCTGTCCCCTGGCATTCTGAACCTTTTATTTGCTACCTCATTTAAAAAAAAAAAAAGAGAGAGAGAGAGCAAGATCTTGTTAATTAATTTGAGACCTGTCTTGGTTCCCAGATCTCCTAAATGTGGCAGGACAATAAACAAAATCAATGAAGTGAACAAAGTAATGATTACAACTGTGGTCAGTCAGTGCTGCTGACAGGAGAGTGACGCGACATTCGCCCTGTGCTGGAAGGGCGGGTGGGAAAGCGGGAAAACCAGAGTCAGCTGGGTGACCAGGGAAGGCCTCTCTCAGGAGACGACAATCAGGGTATGCAGCAGCTGGCTATTTCAACAGCCCAAACAATCCACCTGTGAAATGGTGGTGCTTTCGAAATATCTACTATGAGCAGGAGAAAGTAAGACTCACCCACTCCTCCAAAGGGGAAAGAGTTAAGCATGAAGTGCATGATGACATCATTGCCTGTGACACCTCCACTGGACGTCTCATCAATCATCCGTTTGATGAGCTGAGGACAGACCAAAGGCATCCAGGTCAGTGAAGCTGCCTCTCAGGGAACACTCAGGCCCCATCATGTGCTCAAAGCATGTACATTCTGGCTTTGTGTCAGTGAAAATTCTAGAGTTTGGGGACACCATGCCAGCCAGATAGACAAAAAATCTAAACTGTGGTTAATTTAGCAAAGTGAATGATACCCAACTTCTCAGACACACATCTAGTGCACAAAGGGAGGCAGCTCCAAACCTCTGGGCCTACTCAGCCACCACCTAGAGTTGTACTCCTCAGCACAGCAGCACAAGTTTCTTTATAAGGGGACAGTTTAAACTATATTCCAGCTTTAAAAACTGTTATTCTTTCTTTTCTCGCTCTAAATTATAACATATGATTAAGAGTTACTATTTAGTCTTCGTAAAATGCAAAAATATTTAAGACTATAGATTTAGCATCCTATTTAAGAATTAAATGGTTGAGCCGGGCGCGGTGGCTCAAGCCTGTAATCCCAGCACTTTGGGAGGCCGAGGCGGGTGGATCATGAGGTCAAGAGATCGAGACCATTCTGGTCAACATGGTGAAACCCTGTCTCTACTAAAAATACAAAAAATTAGCTGGGCATGGTGGCGCGTGCCTGTAATCCCAGCTACTCAGGAGGCTGAGGCAGGAGAATTGCCTGAACCCAGGAGGCGGAGGTTGCGGTGAGCCGAGATCGTGCCATTGCACTCCAGCCTGGGTAACTCTGCCTCAAAAAAAAAAAAAAAGAATTAAATGGTTGGTTGGCCTAAGACCCAGAAAAGCACAAGAACACTTGAGTAGCAAATGCCTTTTCACTTGGGTGCCAGCAAGCCCTTGAAAGTTCTTCATGGCAAATGTCAAGTCTGGACAGTAGTGAGCTCAGGTGACCCACTGCTGGGAAGTGCTCCACACTTGACTTGTACCTTGGCCAGCTGACTTTCGGCTTCAGGGTTCCTTCCTGCCCATATTGTCCAGGGTTTTAAATGTCAAACCATTGTTTTGTAATAACCAAGTCTTTACTAAGCCCCACACATCAAGTCTCACTCCAAATGCCTGTAGCTATCTGCATCTTAATAGCATCACAAGCTCCAAAAGGTGTCCGGTGACTGTCTGTACATTACCATCAGAAGCTCTCCAGAAAACATTTGGCTTATGAACTCCTCAGATCTTGACTAGTCTCTTTTCCCTTCTAGTTTTCCCGCTTCTTCAGAGGGCTTCTGAACCTACTTGCCCTCCTTGAGGCCACTGTGTCTTAGCAGAAGCTGGTCCCCTAGTGACATGAATGAGTGAGCCATGCAGAAAGTGGCAGAACTGCTCAACCAGGTGATGCGGTTCCACCACTCTACAAGAAGCTAATGTAATGTGAGAAACTAAAATCCGTGACATCACAGTCACTTATGTGACAATGTAGGGGTCTCTGTACCACACAACCCCCTCTGAGTGGCAGTGAATGCCATTTTGGTCATAGGGCAGGCAAGAGCACTCAAGTTAAGAAAAAAACAGCATTGATGTGATTCATAGGGGAGCCGTCTTTGCATTCAGCAATGCCCTGCGGATGAACATCAGAAAAGCACTTAATGCTAGTACATGTAAGTCTTCCAATTATACAGGAGATGTTTGTGAATCAAAAACCCTGTGACACTCACCCCTGCAGACTCAGATACAACCCCAGGGAGGAGGGGGAATGGAGACTGTGATAACCCCAGAGCCTCATTATCAAAGACAGCAACCTAGGAATGCAACCTCACTTAGTGGACTCTGATACTATACAAAAAAACACATCCTTGTTTTACATTGTTTTTTGCATTGTTTTACAGCAAAGAAGGAACATGACTCTTGACAGTCACTTACGATAGTGAGCTGTTCTCTCTAAAGCTTACCTTATTGTTATGTGAAAATACATAGAGAGCCAGAGGCTTTTCACGTTCATTTATGAAATTTATGGCCTCATCTACATTTTTCACAGGCACTATTGGAAGAACTGGTCCAAAAATTTCTTCTTGCATCACCTTGGTTTTAGGATCAACATCAGTAAGTACTGTTGGGGCTTAAAAGAAAATAAACAAAATGAAAATGCTTAGACAAAAATGCACAACTTTCATCTTACATTTCTTTCACTGAGTCACCTATCCATCCCGTTCCCTCTCCTGCCCAAGTCATATCTATTGAAAAGTCCTGAGCATGCGGATGAACTGTGCAAATACTCAATGTCACCAAAGCCTGTGAATCACAACCCTGTGGGTACCTGTGCAAACCAAGGGAACGATATACAATCAAATATACCTTTTTCATACTTAATCCTGTTCATAGCCATGCATGTATTTAACTGTAGATTATACTTAACATTTTTCTGTAGACAGGTTTTTCTAGGAGCAAAAACAGCTCCTCTGTGAATCAAATCAATACTATTTTTTCTTAATCTTTATTACAACTCTGTTAGACAGATTAAGAAAACAGGCTTAAATGGTCAAAATTCCCTAAGCCTTAGTTCAGTGTTCCATCTACCATGGGGAAGAGGCAAGAGAAAGGAGGGCGAAACAGATGCTGAGGAGGCTATGCAGAGTGTCCCAGCATCTGCTGCCAACGTAAGTCACCAACTGGCAGTACTCCAAAAGATGCTGTAAAGAATAAACTGAATCGTCAACCAAAAGAGAAGTCATCTAACAAGTTGGCACTTTTCCTTTACCCCTAGTTTCTACTAGGGCATCTTGGCAATGTGGCTGGGGCTGGCTTCCTGCAGTACCACTTCTAGGGGTATATAAGCTGCCACCCCAAATCCATTGCCCACATCTTCCTCAGGTCAGAGAACCAATTTGGGCTGGGTGTCTACTTCCTCTGCATAGCTGTGCTCAGGTAAGATGATCCTAGCTCGAAGTCAGGGGAAAGTCCTAATTAGTCTATGAGCTACTCAGGACAGCCCCTTCCCCTTGCCATTCTTAGCCTAGGAATGGGCAATGTGGACATACTGACGATGGGAGAACAGAGAGGTGAAAGAATTAACGTTTGTTTTCCCTTTTTTCTACAGATGTATTCCCCAATTCAATCTGGGCCAACACCAAGAGAGACAGAAGGTACAGAATTGTTTTCTTTTACATCCTAGAACAAAAAATCAGGGCTTTTTATGGTACCACTGAGCCACTGAATTAGCCAGCTCAGGAGAACCTCAGGACTGCTAATTATAAGGTAATCAATTTCTGCTTCTTATTTCAATATTTTAAGGGTTTTTTTTGAGGGGGGGTAACTTGTAGCATCTTTTCTGATAAAGGGGATAGGTAAAGCTATGTGGGACAGCTTCTTTGCCAGCCAAGTCCAAATGTATCTAACTTTTCTGTCACCTTACATTTTACTCTAGAAAAATGTGGTTAACATTCAAAGTAATACATATTCAAGGCAAAGAAGAGAAAGCATAAATAATCAGGTCAAGCATGACGGACCACAACGTTATTTCTGGAGTGGTACTGTCACTGGTTAGTTGCAGAATAGTGGCCAAGCTTCTTCTTTGTGCTGTTTTCCTGTCCACAAACTGGAGATAACTACAAGTTCTACTCTGCTTCTCAGGGTCGTTAGGAAGAAAAAAGTAGTTATGTGTAAATATGAACAACTGGAGCAACGCTGGTGGCATCATTCAACACACAGGAACACAGACATTTTAAATAGCTTATAATAAAAGCTACAGTATAACAGAAAGCAGTATTTAGTACTTTGTTAAACACTATATATTTCATAGTTTATTTAGTGTTAGTAAGTAGTGCCAGCAAAAACTGCCAAATTGCCATCTTCCCTTAGGAAAAGGAGAATTTCCATTACCTATGTAGCGTGTGGCCTCATCCGTCTCCCCACCAAAAGCTATCTTTTGTCCTTCAAGCAAACTCAGTATCCTCTTAAAATGACGAAGATTGATGATCCTTTCATAATCAGGAGATTCTTTTACATTTTCTCCATAAAATTCCTATTGAAAACAACAGAAGTATACAAATGTCATAAAGACCCACATTTCAATTTCACTAAGTACAAAATCCAGCCATGCCCCCAAATCACTCTGGTTTTCTATCCTCACAGAATCAAACACCCACCCCTCAAGTAATTGAACAGTAGTATAACAGTAGTAAGTTTCAGCTTTTTGGCAGGTCAAGAACTAGAAAATAAAGCATGCACACACCCAGAGCTCTATCACTGTCTATAGTACCAAGGGTCCTTATGGATCTCTCACAGTCTAACCACAGGCCTTCACCTCCTGGGGCTAACAGCAGGACTAGGCTCAGAACAGAAGTCTTGTTTTACATCAGGGTTGCCTATTTGTTCACACACTGGCTGTGCCTGCTCTCCCCCTCCCCCTGCATTAAGTTGGGTAGTTGCAGCACAGACTCTAAGATCTGCAAAGCCTAAAATATTGACCACTGAGCCCTTTACAGAAAACATTTGCCAATCTTTGCTCCACTTTGTTGTTTTGGTATTCTTTGAACTGGTATTTCCACCACTTACACATGATGGTGAAACCTCTCAAAGGCTCAAAGTACAGCTTTGGTAAAATACCAAGGTAAAAGAACCTCATAATAATACAACCAATATTTACTTTGTCAAATAAACACAAAATTACTGAATTGCTACATCACTTCAAGGCCTTGTGAGAGTTCTCAATTTAATCTCAAATCAAAATGAACAACCTCTACCAAGAACACCTCTCAAGTCTGGGTGGTACGAATCACTTGTGTAGCTTGCTAAAAATGCATGTGCCTAGGCTTTGACTCCAGAGTGGTAAAAGCTACCAACAGTAGCTTTCAATGCTGACTACATCATAGAATCACCTGGGGCCTCCAAAAAGCTGAATCTTTGGAGGGTAAGTCTTGCAAACTTGTTTTTAAATGGCTCCCTAGTGATTCTAACATGTAGCTTCAGAACCACTGTGTTAAGAGTATAAATGCCTCAAAGGGAGGGAGAGGCCGTATTCCCTTGAAACTGAATTCGTTCCCACATTCAACTAAGCATTTCTCTAATTCCCAAGTATTTTTCAATCTCACAAGTATATTTAACCATTCTCTCTTCCCACATACCCTTAATCTGGGCAACTCTCCCTTCATGTTCTCATCTGGATCCATTTTTAGTCTTACCACTGAAAATGATAGTCCAATTCCCATATCAAGACCCTAGTACCTCATCGCCCAAGTTACTCTGCCTCACATAGTGAACTATCTCCCTGAACTTCCTGGTACACAATTTTCTCTTTTATTTATTTATTTATTTTTGAGACAGGGTCTCATTCTGTCACCCAGGGTGGAGTACAGTGGCACAATCTTAGCTCACTGCAGCCTCCGCCTCCCAGGCAGACTCAAGCAATCCTCCTACCTCAGCTTCCCAAGTGGCTGGGTCCACAGGTGCACAGCACTACACCCAGCTAATTTTTGTGGGTTTTATAGAGACGGGATTTTGCTATATTGCCCAGCTGGTCTTCAACCCCTAGCCTTAAGCGATCTGTCTTGCCTCAGCCTCCCAAAGTGCTGGGATTACAGGAGTGAGCCACTGTGCCCAGCCAATTTTCTCCTTTTTCTTTTTTTTGTTTAGACAGGGTCTAATGAGTGAGTCATATATGCTTGTGACATTTTCCTAGAGAGAGAAACTAATGGGGATGCTCTGTGAATAATTTGACTCCTTATCTTATTAAAATCAGTGGAATCAGATGTGTTGAATACAAACCTTCACTGTTTCTTTAATCTTCTGCACAATTTGATTCTGAAGGGATGCTTCACAGAGAATGTAGTCGGGGGCAATGCACGTTTGGCCACAATTCATGTATTTTCCCCAGGTTATGCGTCTGAGGGGAAAAAATCCAGAACGGCTATATAATTCAGTCAAACATCCATCTGTTATATTGTGTTGTTTGAATATTTTGCAACTAAAATAGATTCATATATTTACCTGGCAATTTGTATAAAAAATAAAAATCTCATTTCTAATTCAGTTGGTTGGAACTTAGAATGTATTTTCCAAATGAGGTAGAATATTTTAAGTAGCAGGGAATTTCTCATGCCAGCTCATGGGAAACAGTACTTGGTAAACAGTGAAGCCATTGCCTGCTCCAGGAAAACAGGAGAAGCAACCTCCCAACACACCTTCCCCTCTCCCACTCCAGGCAAAGGAAAGCCCTGGATAACGGGAGTTTGGTACAGACCCTCCTGGTTGTGGCTTTTGGCTCTGTCGGCAAGATGCTCAGGTATAAAGCAGGATGTCAGCCAGCTTCCAAGGCCACCCTCCTCTTTGTTGAGCCCTGCCCCACTTGGGAAGACCTTTCCATGCATGAGCAGAAATCCATGCCCTGAACATTCACTAACTGGGGGGCTTCAGATTTGGCAACTGGATTTCTACTTATGAAGCCCACCTGGAACCCTGACCTGGAACCTCCGAAGGGAGAGAAAGCCACACTAACCCAGAGCACAAAGTCAGTTCTATGAGTTGGCACTTCTTAGTAGTAAAACCAGATTTAGCAGAGAGAATGTGAAACCTTTTATTTTCTAATTTTCAGATGCAAGATGTTATTCGCAGTTAAATAATGAGGAACACTTGTTTTGTCAGCAAAGAATCTCAGTTAAGAGGTCAGCATAATACCCTCTCAAATGGAAATTTAAAGACTTTATTGGATGTGATCCAAGATGGCTAATTAGGAGCAGGTGAGGACTGCAGCTCCCAGCGAAAGTGCTGAGGGTGAGTGGATGCTGCATTTACAGACACATTTTTATTGCCCACAGACCAGGAGATTCCCAGGCGGAGGAGCCCATAGGTCACCAGCACAGCTGTTTTGGCCAGCACCCCAGCCTGGCGGGTCTCTACACAAAATACACGGGTCCAGGAGCTGTTTTAGCTGGCGATTGGAGCTAGAGAGATGGAGTTGGGAGACAGAGTTGCCCATTCAACTGATAAAAAAGGGGACTGAAACAGGGAGCCAGGCCAGGAGATTCCCGGACAAAAAAAGTGCCAAGAATCTCAGCCTGCGCAGTGGGTCACCACCTGGGAAATCACACAGATCCTGGCGCCTTTTCAACAGGTGACTGGAACACCTGGGAGACAGAGTCGCCCATTCAACTGAAACAACAACAACAACAACAACAAAACGGGGTCTGAGGCAGGGAGCCAGGTGATCAGGCTCAGATGGTCCCACCCCTACAAAAAAACAGCAATCTGAAATGCTCTGGATTGAGAGTTTCACAGCAAGCACAGCTGAACCCAGGACGGTCCAGCTCTGTGGGGGAGGGGCATCTGCCATTACCGAGGCAGTCCACCACTACGGAGGTAGCCCACCATTGCCGAGGCAGCCCACCATTACAGAGACAGTCCACCATTGCCGAGGCAGTTCTAACTATACCCGTATAAACAGGACTATAGGGAGGTTTACATGGCAGCTGGGCAGAGCCCACAGCAGCTCAGCAAATCTCTGCAGGCAAACAGTGACTAGGATGCCTCCTTGCTGGGCAGGACAGCCCTGAAAAAAGGCAGCAGCACAACAGAAACTTATAAATAAAGCCCTAACTCCCCAGGACAAGCACCTGGGAAAAAAAAAGGGGGGAGGGTTTATGAGTTCTGCTGCAGGAGACTTAAACGTACCTGCCCAGCAGCTCTGAATGAACAATGGAGCTCACAGCTCAGCTCTTGAGCTCATATAAGGGACACACTGTCTCCTCAAGCAGCTCCCTGACCCCTGTATATCGAAAGAGTCACCTCATAAAGGACAGCTCAGACTGACATCAGGCAGGTATCCCTCTCGGACAAAGATAGCAGAAGAAACTGGCAGCAACCCTTACTGTTCTGCAGCTGCTGCAGGTGATCACCAGGCAAGCAGGGCCTGGAGGGGACCTCAGCAGTACTACAGCAGAGGGGCCTGAATGTGAGAAGGAAAACTAAGAAACAGAAAGAAATAACTTCATCATCAACAAACTGGATGTTCACTCAGAAACCCAATCTGAAAGCCAACAACTACAAAGACGACAGGTGGATAAATCTACTAAGATGGGAAGAAACCAGTGCAAAAAGGATGAAAACATCCAAAACCAGAATGCCACTCCTCCTGCAAGGTATCACAACTCCTCACCAGAAAGGGAACCAGGCTGGATGGAGAATGAGTGTAATGAATTGTCAGAAACAGGCTTCAGAAGGTGGGTAATCAGAAATTTTGCTGAGCTAAAAGAACATGTTCTAACTCAATGCAAAGAAACTTAAGAACCTTGAAAAAATATTTGACAAAATGCTAATGAGAATAAACAACTTAGAGAGGAATATAAGCAAATTGATGGAGCTGAAAAACACAACACAAGAACTTCGTGAAGCATACATGAGTTTCGACAGCCGAATTGACCAAGCAGAAGAAAGGATATCAGAGGTTGAAGATCAACTTAATGAAATAAAACAAGAAGGCAAGATTAGAGAAAAAAGGGTAAAAAGAAATGAACAAAGTCTCCAAGAAATATGGGACTATGTGAAAAGACCTAATCTACGTTTGATAGGTGTACCTGAATGTGATGGAGAGATGAATCCAACCTGGAAAATACTCTTCAGGATATAATCCAGGAAAACTTCTCCAAGCTAGCAAGGCAGGCCAATATTCAAGCCCAGGAAATACAGAGAACACCACAAAGATATTCCTCAAGAAGAACAACCCCAAGGCACATAATAGTCAGGTTCACCAGGGTTGAAATGAAGGAGAAAGTGCTGAGGGCAGCCAGAGAGAAAGGTCAGGTTACCCACAAAGGGAAGCCCATCAGAGTCACAGCGGATATCTCAGCAGAAACCCTACAAGCCAGAAGAGAGTGGGGGCCAATATTCAACATCCTTAAAGAAAAGAACTTTCAACCTAGAATTTCATGTCCAGCCAAACTAAGCTTCATAAGTGAAGGAAAAATAAAATCCTTTACAAACAAGCAAGTATTCAGAGATTTCATCACCACCAGGCCTGCTTTACAAGAGCTCCTGAAAGAATCGATAAGCATAGAAAGGAACAACCAGTATCAGCTACTCCAAAAACATACCAAATGTTAAAGAGTACCGACACAAAGAAGAAACAGCATCAACTAAAGGGCAAAATGGCCAGCTAGCATCAAAATGACAGGATCAAATTCACACATAACAATATTAACCCTAAATGTAAATGGGCTAAACGCCCCAATCAAAAGACAGAGACTGGCAAATTGTATAAAAAGCCAAAACCCATCAGTGTGCTATATCCAGGAAACCCATCTCACATGCAAGGATACACAAAGGCTCAAAATAAAAGGATGGAGGAAGATTTACCAAGCAAAAAAAAGCAGGAGTTGCAGTTCTCGTCTCTGATAATATAGGCTTTAAACCAACAAAGATCAAAAGAGACAAAAAAGGACATTACATAATGGTAAAAGAATCAATGCAACAAGAAGAGCTAACGATCCTAAATATATATGCACCCAATACAGAAGCACCCAGATACATAAGGCAAGTTCTTAATGACTTACAAAGAGACCTAGACTCCCACATAATAATAGTGGGGGACTTTAACAACCCATTGTCAATATTAGACAGATCAATGAGACAGAAAATTAACAAGGATATCCAGGACTTGAACTTAAGCCTGGACCAAGCAAACCTAATAGACATTTACAGAACCCTCCACCCCAAATCCACAGAATATACATTCTTCTCAGCACCACTTCACACCTACTCTAAAATTGACCACATAATTGGAAGTAAATCATTCCTCAGCAAATGCAAAAGAATGGAAATCATACAAACAAGTCTCTCAGACCACAGTGCAATCAAGCTAGAATTCAGAATTCAGAAACTGACTCAGAACCACACAGCTTCACAGAAACTGAACAACTGGCTCTTGAATGTTGACTGGATAAACAATGAAATGAAGGCAGAAATAAAGATGTTCTTCGAAACCAATGAGAACGAAGACACAATGTACCAGAATCTCTGGGACACATTTAAAGCAGTGTCTACAGGAAAATTTATAGCAATAAATGCCCACATGATAAGCAAGGAAAGATCTAAAATCGACACCCTATTGTCAAAATTGAAAGAGCTAGAGGAGCAAGATCAAAAAAACTCAAAACCTAGCAGGAGACAAGAAATAACTAAGATCAGAGCAGAACTGAAGGAGATAGAGACACAAAAAAAACCCTTCAAAAAAATCAATAAATCCAGGAGCTGGTTTTTCGAAAACATCAACAAAATAGACCACTAGCTAAATTAATAAAAAGGAAAAGAGAGAATAATCAAATAGATGGAATAAAAAATGATACAGGGGATATCACCACAGATTCCAAAGAAATACAAAGCATAATCAGAGATTATTACAAACAACTCTATGCACATAAACTAGTAAACCTGGAAGAAATGGATAAATTCCTGGACACTTGGATCCTCCCAAGCCTAAACCAGGAAAAAGTCAAAACCCTGAATAGACCAGTAACAAGGGCAGAAGTTGAGGCAGCAATTAATAGCCTAGCAACCAAAAAAAGCCCAGGTCCAGATGGGTTCACAGCCGAATTCTACCAGACATACAAAGAGGAGCTGGTACCATTCCTTCTGAAACTATTCCAAGCAATCCAAAAAGAGGGAATCCTTCCCAAATCATTTTATGAGATCAACATCACCCTGATACCAAAACCTGGTAAAGACTCAGCAAGAAAAAAAAACTTGAAGCCAACATCCATGATGAACACGAATGTAAAAATCTTCAATAAAATACTGGCAAACCGATTGCAACAGCACATCAAAAAGCTTATTCACCATGATCAAGTAGGCTTCATCCCAGGGATCCAAGGCTGGTTCAACATACACAAGTCTATAAACATAAACAGAACCATATAAACAGAACCAAAGACAAAAACCACATGATTATCTCAATTGATGCAGAGAAGGCTTTCAACAAAATTCAACAGCCCTTTATGCTAAAAACCCTCAATAAACTAGATATTGATGGAACGTATCTCAAAATAATAAAAGCTATTTATGACAAACCAACAGCCAACATCATATTGAATGGGCAAAAACTGGAAGCATTCCCTTTGAAATCTGGCACTAGACAAGGATGCCCTCTCTCACCACTCCTATTCAATATAGTACTGGAAGTTCTAGCCAGAGCAATGAGGCAAGAAAAAGAAATAAGGCGTATTCAGTTAGGAAAGGAGTAAGTCAAATTGTCTCTATTTGCAGACGACATGATTGTATATTTAGAAGACCCAACCGTCTCAGCCCAAAATCTCCTGAAACTGATAAGCAACTTCAACAAAGTCTCAGGATACAAAATCAATGTGCAAAAATTACAAGCATTCCTATACACCAATAACATACTTAAAGAGAGCCAAATCAAGAACAAACTGCCATTCAGATTGCTACAAAGAAAACAAAATACCTAGGAATACAACTGACAAAGGATTTAAAGGACCTCTTCAAGGAGAACTACAAGCCACTGCTCAACGAAGTAAGAGAGGACACAAACAGATGGAGAAACATTCCATGCTCATGGTTAGGAAGAATCAATGCCATGAAAATGGCCATACTGCCCAAAGTAACTTACAGATTCAATGCTATCCCCATCAGGCTACCAATGACCTTCTTCACAGAACTGGAAAAAACCACCTTAAACTTCATATGGAACCAAAAGAGAGCCTGTATAGCCAAGTCAATTCTAAGCAAAAAGAACAAAGCGGGAGGCATCACACTACCTGACTTCAAACTATACTACAAGGCTACAGTAATTAAAACAGCATGGTACTGGTACCAAAACAGAGATACAGACCAATGGAACAGAACAGAGGCCTCGGAGGCAACGCCACACATCTACAACCATCTGATCTTTGACAAACCTGACAAAAACAAGCAATGGGGAATGGATTCCCTGTTTAATAAATGGTGTTGGGAAAACCGGCTAGCCATGTGCAGAAAGCAGAAACTGGACCCCTTCCTGACACCTTACACTAAAATTAATTCGAGATGGATTAAAAACATAAACATAAGGCCTAACACCATAAAAACTCTAGAAGAAAATCTAGGCAAAACCATTCAGGACATAGGCATAGGCAAGGACTTCATGACCAAAACACCAAAAGCATTGGCAACAAAAGCCAAAATAGACAAATAGGACCTAATCAAACACCACAGCTTCTGTACAGCAAAAGAAACAGTCATTAGAGTGAATCAGCAACCAACGGAATGGGAAAAAATTTTTGCAATCTACCCATCTGACAAAGGGCTGATATCCAGAATCTACAAAGAACTAAAACAGATTTACAAAAAAAAAAAAAAAAAAAAAAAAAACAACAAGCGCATTCAAAAGTGGGCAAAGGATATGAACAGGCACTTTATAAAAGAAGACATACATGAGGCCAACAAACATATGAAAAATGCTCATCATCATTGTTCATTAGAGAAATGCACATCAAAACTACATTGAGATACCATCTCACACCAGTTAGAATGGCGATCATTAAAAAATCTGGAGACAACAGATGCTGGAGAGGATGTGGAGAAATAGGAACACTTTTACACTGTTGGTGGGAGTGTAAATTAGTTCAACCATTGTGGATGACAGTGTGGCGATTCCTCAAGGACCTAGAAACAGAAATTCCATTTGACCCAGCAATCCCATTACTGGGTATATATCCAAAGGATTATAAATCATTCTACTATAAGGACACATGCACACGAATGTTCATTGCATCACTGTTTACAACAGCAAAGACCTGGAACCAACCCAAATGCCCATCAATGATAGACTGGACAGGGAAAATGTGGCACATATACACCATGGAATACCATGCAGCCATAAAATACGAAGAGTTCATGTCCTTTGTAGGGACATGGATGAACCTGGAAACCATCATTCTCAGCAAACTGACACAAGAACAGAAAATCAAGCACCGCATGTTCTCACTCATAGGTGGGTGTTGAACAATGAGAACACATGGACACCGGGAAGGGAGCATCACACACTGGGGTCTGTTGGGGGAAAACAGGGGAGGGACAGTGGGGGGTGGGGAGTTGGGGAGAGATTGCATGGGGAGAAATGCCAGATACAGGTGATGGGAAGGAAGGCAGCAAATCACACTGCCAGCAAATCACACTGCCATGTATGTACCTATGCAACAATGTTGCATGTTCTCCACATGTACCCCAAAACCTAAAATGCAATAATAAAAAAATAAAGATTTTATTAGGCACACAACAATACTTTGGATTATGTACTTCATGGATCACTGGCCAGAAGAACATTAAAATTTCTTGCTATATCTAGCTGTTATCTTGACAACAGAAATAACTTTTTCAAAATTCCTAAGGACAACCACATGATGTCAGGACTTACAGCTCACTATTTTTGAAAGACTCCTGTTAATCTCGAGGACATCAACCACCAAAGCTTAAAGATATATTTTCGAGCCATAGGGTATGGGGTTTAAGTGCAAAGAGTAACATTGTCAGGAAAAGTCTCCAGTGCTGGGAAAACCTCAGAAAATCAGAGAGCTAGACTCACCTGCAAACAATGTCCAGGTCACAATCCTTATCGATATAACATGGACTTTTCCCTCCCAGTTCAAGAGTCACAGGGGTCAGATGCTTGGCAGCAGCTTCCATGACAATTTTCCCAACTGCAGTGTTTCCCGTATAGAGAATGTGGTCAAATCGCTGCTTCAGGAGCTCCGTGGTTTCCTCAACACCACCATTAATAACAATATAGAGGTCCTCAAAGAAAGAGAAACACAAACTCTTGCACTGCCACATTAATCCTAGCATCCAACATCAGCAATCACTTCAATATAAGCATGTAACATTCAGTGAAACCCAGAGAGTGTCAAGCCCAGTCCCTGTGAGGGATGGGACAGGGAGCTGACCAGGGACCAGCGGAGAACACACAGTTTGCTGGCATCTGGGAAGCATGAACCCACAGAGAACCAACCTGGAGACTCCAGTGCTTTTCCACATGAGCTCAGCAATGAAGGCACTAAGAAGAACAAATGGTTGAATCTGACCAGGGAAAATGCATGAGATGGGGGTGTGTGCAGAAGTGACTCTGGTGAAGAGTGGCTCCCACAGGACAAGTCCCAGCTGCATGTCTTAGTCTGAACGTTCTCTGTCTCACAACACAGAGTGGGCTTAGCCCATGCTACCCTGAATGAATGATGGATACACACCACAGTAGCTGAGAGCACTTGCTTTTGAAGCATATCTGGTTTGAATCTGGGCTCTGTCACTCACTAGCTTATGTGACCTTAGGCAAGCTACTGAACATCCCTGAGCCTCAATTTCCTCATCTGTTACTGGGAGAATTCATGTAGCTTCTGGGACTGAGTCCATCTATGTACTGCAACAACAACAGCATGAAAAGTAAGAGAACAGATGGCAAGCAAAGAAGACAGAGAGGTATTCAAGACTCTAAGGTATAAGTGGGAAGTAAAAGCTGGCTTGTGGACCTCACGTTCGTTCCCACTTGATCTGCTCTGCAAGGCTAGTTTCATTCACTTCATAGTTCAGCTGCCCAACAAATGTTTCAAGCTCTAACTTTTCTATGGCTTAATTTACATAGCATATATTATTGATCCCCTAACAAGTTAACTGAAGCTGGTAGGGCATTATTATCCTCCTCATCTGGACAGAGTCAGCTATTGAAGAATTTATCCCCGGTCAGGGGCAAAGCAGGACCTTCAACCTCTGTCTTCTGGTTCTAAGGCCTATTCAATCCTTGACATCTCACTGTCTGCCATTTCATCTTTCTTGATTGGATCATCACAGCTATTTGAACAAAATGATTCTGTGGGCTGCTGGAACAGTGATAAGACAATAAAGAGAACTGTATCATTCCAAGAACCAGAACTGGCCTCAAGGCCATTACACACTGATAAATAGAACACAGGTAAGATAGTTTTGTCTTTCAATGAAAGCTAAATGAAGACTCCTCCCTGCAGCAACTGCATGTAAAACTCAGCAGTGTCAATTTCACAGTGGCGTCCTAACTTCCTCCCTAGGAGGCCATAAGAACCTCTGACTCAGGCCGGGCGCGGTGGCTCAAGCCTGTAATCCCAGCACTTTGGGAGGCCGAGGCGGGTGGATCACAAGGTCGAGAGATCGAGACCATCCCGGTCAACATAGTGAAACCCCGTCTCTACTAAAAATACAAAAAATTAGCTGGGCATGGTGGCGAGTGCCTGTAATCCCAGCTACTCAGGAGGCTGAGGCAGGAGAATTGCCTGAACCCAGGAGGCGGAGGTTGCGGTGAGCCGAGATCGCGCCATTGCACTCCAGCCTGGGTAACGAGAGCGAAACTCCGTCTCAAAAAAAAAAAAAAAAAAAAACCTCTGACTCAGACAGATGAACTACCCCGCAATTGAACAGATCATTTTCTTTATTCAGTTCTTGATATTCTTAAAACGCCAGCATGTTAAGTCAGCATGAGGATCTACCCTCTAGTTCAGGTGGGCAACTTTGTGTGTGTGTGTGTGGCATGTTTTCATGCCACAGACATGTCTTTGAAAGCAGAACTACTCTTATAGGCTGGGTGTGGTGGCTCACACCTGTAATGCCAGCACTTTGGGAGGCCAAGGTGGGCGGATCACCTGAGGTCAGGAGCTCGGGACCAGCCTGGTCAACATGGTAAAACCATGTCTCTACCAAAAATACAAAAACTAGCCAGGCATGGTGGCACACGTCTGTAATCCCACCTACTTGGGAGGCTGAGGCAGGAGAATTGCTTGAACCCAGGAGGTAGAGGTTGCAGTGAGCTGAGATCGCACCACAGCACTACAGCCTCGGTGACAGAGCAAGATTCCACCTCAAAAAATAAGTACTCTTACATAATCATAGAAAATTACATTTTGTTAGAACAAAAGAGATTGTTAGTAACAGAAATATGCTAGCACCCAGCACAGTACCAGTCCCTTGTTAAATAATCCATTAAATGAAAACACCTAAAATCATATTAGCTCAAACAAGGATTAATGCAAAGTATCAAACAATCTGTTAATAGCAGTAGTACATACCTGTGAAGACACGGGCCTACATATATTACATAACCCTAACAGCTGGGTGAGTCCACAGTTTATTTTGGAACTTAACTCCTTTTACTAAGCCAATTGTTGAAGGCTTAAGGAAATTGCAGTCGGGTCCCTGGCCAGCAATGACATGCAATAGCAAGAAAATCAAATGTGTGTCTTCCACAACAAACACATATGTTGAAGATGGTTCAAGAGATTCTTACCTGGTCTAAATACTGAGGCAGAAGCTTAGCCAAGATCGTGGCTGTATTTTCACTCAGTTCAGAAGGCTTGATAATCACAGCATTTCCTAAACAAAGTAAAAAGTAGAACAGTATCATCTAAGACTTACCTTTAATGCCTACCAAAATGGTGTTCAGTGGGAAGGACAGGCTCGGTGCTCCCAGTTATTTCTGCAGCTCTCAATGCTGCACATCCTCATAATGAACATAAGAGCTCATCTCACTTTATCTTCAAAGGCTTAACTCCTTAGCTGTCATCATCTTCAGGTCACTGACAATGGGTCCCATCAGCCTTTCCCACTCCTCCAGCTTTCTATCACTTTTCTCCCATCTTCCCCTTAGATGTTCCTCTCTGCCCTGGAATTACTGGGCAAATGAGCCATTTCAACATACAGCTCTCTATCTGGATCCTGAAAAGTGAGAAATTAATCTCCTGGCATTTGCTGTACACCCAAACTAACATTACTCTCATAGTCTTTATCTGAATGAAGAAACAGGTCAGACAGAATCAAATGGTTCATCCAAAGCCAGAGCCGGCAACTGAAACCACATTAGATATGGAAGCCTGACTCCAAACTCCTGGGCTTGTTGATCCAGATGCCTTTATACTCTCACAGGTTCACTCCCCAAGTGCTTCAAAAAATAGCCACACAAATCTCCTTAGCAGCCCATTTAAAAATATGTATGATATGTATGAATTCTCAATACACTGGTGGCGTAAACAAAGGCAAACGACCAAAGTAAATGTATTTAGTCACTATCCTTAATTTACAATGAATACGAGAAATGAGCCTCCCTAAAAAGGTATATAGACATAAGCTGGCACCAGACCTGCAGCGATGGCTCCTATCAGTGGCTGAATGGTGAGAACAAAGGGGTAGTTCCAAGCTCCGATTATCAGCACCACTCCTAGAGGCTGTGGCTGAAGATAGGCCTCATCCAGCATGGTGAGCAGGTTCTTCTTAACCGGTTTAGCAGCAACCCATTCAGGAAGATTTTCAAGCATAAAATCAATTTCCCCAAGGACAGTAATGACTTCCTGACTGTACGCATTGAATTCGCTCTGTTGTAAGAGAATCACAGTTAATCTTGCAGAGAGTATGATATACTTAGCCCTGAATGTCAAAACACTCAGGCCAGGTACACCTGCAGTGACAAGTGGCATTGTCAGACTAGCTGGTTTGCCATCCAGATTCCTTTTGCACCCTTCATGCCCTTGAAAAAACTTACTAATTCTCTCCCTAATATATATATATTTTTTAAATCAAAGATTATTTCAGGGAGTAGTAACACTAGCAGTAGTAATGCTTCCAGTAAATCCTCCTTTACTAATCCACACCCTTTAAAAGCCAGGCTTAAATATTACCTCTTTCAGAAAGACTTCCTTGAGTAATAAAGGTCTGCTCTGATCACACTTTATATATCACAGCAATTATGCTTTTGACCTGCATCTTAATAATTCACCCTTAAAACACTGGTTTATAACTTACTGACATTTTACCTGTGTACGTTCTGTTTCCCAACCAAGTTTAAAACTCTCAAGGATAGGAAACTTACTGTATTTCTTGAGTCATCCTACATATACACACACTCACACAAACATTTAGTTTTGAAGAATGATTAAATGACACAGACTTTTTGGAATCTTAATTATCGCATCTTGTTTACTTAATATCATAGCCCCTATCCACCAAAAGTACTCTAAAAAGAAATTTTATAGTTACTAGTAGTACTACTACTGTTACTACTTCTTAAAATAATCTTTGATTGAGGGGTTTGTGGGGAAGGGAAAATCACAAACCCAGAGCAAAGCCTTGCTACACCTGTAATGCAGATAAAAAGTAAAAACGAGAGCCTCATGCCAGTAGTCCCAGTATCTGGGAGTCTGGGTGAGGGGATTGCTTGAGCCCAGGAGATGCACGCTGCAGCGGGCTATGATTGAGTCACTGCACTTCAGCCTGGGCAACAAAGGGAGACTCTGCCACCTAAAGAAAAAAAAAAGGTAACAATATTATCAGGAAACATAGAGGAATATACTTCCACCCTAAAACACTACTTAAAACTTGGCTACCACAAGCCAGGGGTTGTGGCTCACACCAGTAATCCCACCACTTTGGGAGGCCTAGGTGGGCGGATCACTTGAGGCCAGGAGTTTGGGACCAGCCTGGTCAACATGGTGAAACTCCATTTCTACTGAAAATACAAAAATTAGCCGGGCGTGGTAGTGCATGCCTGTAATCCCAGCTACTCAGGAGGCTGAGGAAAGAGAATCACTTAAATCCAGGAGGCAGAGGGTGCAGTGAGCCAAGATGGCACCACTGCACTCTGACCTGGAAAACAGAGCCAGACTGTCGCAAAACAAAGAAACACACAAACCACACACAAAAATCAAAACAATAGCTTTGCTACACAAAGCATGCTTCCAAAAGAGGCATTATCACTGGGGACCTAGTTAGAAACTTGGAATCCTTGAAACTGAACAATAATTTGCATGTGAACAAGATCCCAGGTGACGGCCAGTGCATTAAAGTTTGAGAATTGATCTAACAGTGCCAAAAGTTATGAACAAAAATTTGAGTGTTAACTATAACTTAAAAACAAAACCTGTCTACAAAAGAAACCATAAGCAAAGCTAAAAGACAAGAAATAGACCCAGAGGCTGGTCTGATGGGAATGGGTTATCGGAACTTACTAATATTACCGTCACTAAATTTGGTATACAACTCTCCCACTGCTAAATTTGACTGGCTAAGAAAGAAAGAAAGAAAAAGAAACCTAAAGAAAGTATCCGCAACATGGTAAAGTGACAAATTACTGAAATCTACAATATACAAAGACTTTCTATAAATCATAAGGAAAAAAAAACTACAAATGTAACAGAAAAATGGACAAGAACAGAAAAAGCAGAAAAGAAACCATAGAGGCCAGGTAACAAATACCCTTCCGACTGCCAGAGGACCGGGAAAGTCGGCGGAACTTTGGCTTTATCTGTACCGTTGGAGATCATACTCCCAGCGCTGGAGTAATCCGAAATGTAAAAGCAGAAAGAAAACCCAGCAGAAGCTCCGGTCCACAAGGGCGCGGCGGGGACCAGCTTCCCCGCGCCCCGCCGCACGGGTGCGTACCTTGCACAGATCGGAGCGGATGGCCGCCAGGATGTCCTTCTCGCGCTCCTGCACCATCCTCCGCAGGGCCTCCAGCTGCTGCAGCCGGAACCGCAAGGGTCGCGACCTGCCGGACAGGAACGCCTGGCGGACTCGCTGGACTTCGCGCTCCATGGCCCGGTCCTGCAGAGAACTGCAAGGTCGCGGGGCGCCGCTGCGTGAGAGGCGGGATACATGCAGGTGCAGGCCTCGCCTCCCCTCCCTCCGCCTCCCTCCGGAGGGGTCCCCATCGGCGACCCGCTGCCGTACCTCACTCGCCCAGGGCCCGCTCGCTCAGCCCCGGCCTCTGCAGCCGCCTAGCCCGACTGCCAGGCCCAGTCGCCGCCGGGCAGACTGAGCGCGACCCAAAGCCGCGCGCCTATTGGCCCGGGAGGCCCACGTGATCGCCGCTGGCCGGACGCCGGCTCCGCCCGCGCGGACCCCGCCCACTCCCCGGGCTCCGGCCGCGCCTGGGCTGTGATGTGGGGCGCCCAGTGAGGCGGCGGCGTGCAGTCACGAGTCAGTAGGCGTCTGCGTTAGGGATGGAGAATGGGTATTTGCCGTCCTGCTGGGGGCGCCCCGAGGCGGCTCCAGTAAGAGCGGAGAGGAATCCTGGAGGAGCCGGCGGAGGGCGCGCGGGTGGGAGTGGGCGCTCGGCCGGAAGCGCCCCGACGGCGACGGAGAGCGCTCTCCGCACCGCGACGCTCCGAGGGGTTTCCTCCTCCATTTTGTGGCTGTTCAAACGTGGCCAGACGGACAAAGTCAGAGGCCTGGCGTTGCCAAACGGGCTAGGCGTGTCCCGGCCGGCCCCGCCGGTCAGTGGGGAGTGGGCGCCGGAGCCCAGCGCCTCCCCGGCCGCCGCCCCCGAGGCCACACCGCGGCAGGGCCCGCCCGCTCCCCTTCCCGCTTCCCTGTCCCAGGCTCCTTTCTTCGGCGAGGAGCGGCCTCTGCTTGACCGGCACTGACCGTCCCAGGTCCCCGAGGGCGGGAAGCCCGGGTTCATCTCCCGCGGAGCCGGGACAGCGGTCATTTCCGTCGCGCACGAGCATCGCCTTCGCACGTCCTTTCCTCTGAGCTTCTCGCCACCTGCTTGGGCCCCGCTGCCCTCGGGTTCCCCCTCTGCCTTCCTGCCTTTCGGGCAGAAGACCTCAGTGCTCATCCCTCCATTCAGCAGCAGGTGGCTCAGCTGATCGGTCCTGTCTTGTGGAAAGCTTTCTTTTTTTTCTGCATTTCCCTGCACTCTCCAGCTGTTCTGTTTTTCGCTCACTGGCCGGGTTCTCTGGGTTTTCCTTTGCTGGATTTTTCTCTTCCTGACCCGTTAGGTGTTCAGGTGCCCAGGGCTCAGTCCGGGGTCCTCTTTGCTTCCCACGGTCACTCCCTCATGTAATCCCATGGATAGTGCTCACAGAAGGCTCCAATGCCAGCGTTTCCTCTGAACTCCAAATGGTATATTTGTGAGAGGAGAATAAAAACTCATGGCCCTGGCCCAAATCAACTCTCTGCTTATATGCAAAACAACACAAACCGTGATACCTCAACTCACTATGCCAAAAGGAAAAAAAGCAGGAAGCTGAGTCATGCAAGAAACTGCCTCTCTCTGATGTTCCTAATCAGATAGCTACAGGTGAAAGGTTAAATGTCCCCACAGGCAGCTGCTCTGTCCTCAGTTTATCTTAGTGAAGTGCTGATTTACTGAGCAGGAGGCAAATACATAATTGACCATTCCCCTGCCTGTTCCTTTTCTATTTGTGCAAAATGTGGATTCAGTAATGACTCTGTTCTCCCTCTTTTCCCTCCAGCCTGCTCTTACCTTTGAAATATTGAAGCCCTCAAAATCTTTAAAGGCCAAGCATGTCCTTAACCTTGGTAAAATAAACTTCCAAACTGATTGAGAGCTGGTTTTGTTTTACAAACTGGCAGCCAAAGGGAGTGACTCTGAGTGGAGGTGGCCCTGACTTGACAAATTCTGTCAGTGCTTGGGACCAGCTTGGGCTGCCTTTATTGCTCAAACAGGACAATTTGCTGAGGTCTGGGAGTTCTCCACTCCAGAGAATCCCTGATCTCCCAAAGTTTGGTTGAGATCTAACGTTTATTTTGCTGTACACTCTTCTGCAGTTTTACTTACTCCAAACAAGGAAGGCGAGTTTTCCTACTTCCATGACGATGGAGAGCAGGCAACGTCTTTCTGGAATTTCATCTGGCTTCCAGCAGTGAAGGTGAATCTGAGGTTTTTTTCCTCCTTCTAAAATGGTAAAGAGCAGTCTTGACCCTGGGCCCTATTCCTAGGTAAGTAGCTGAATTGGAGTTTTGTCTTGGAAACTCTCCTTAGTGACTAACGTTAGCAACCAGCTGGTCTTCATTTCTCCTTACCTTTAGAGCGCTCAGTAACGTAAATTGTGCAATCATTTCTTTTGCTTCTTTGTTTCTGTTGTTGTTTTGGGTTTGACCACCTCTGCCTGACTTGGTCAAATCTGAAGGAAAGTTGAAATTATGGAGAACAAGGCCTTTGAATTGGCTGACTTACCACAGCTGCGGGGAAAAAAAAGGAAAAAGAAAAAGCAGGGCTGGCATCCCGATGGTTTCCCTGCTTCTACTCTTTTTTTTTTTTTTTTTTTTTTTTTTTGAGACAAGGTCTCACTCTTGTCACCCAGGCTGGAGTATAGTAGCCATGATTATGGCCCACTGCAGCCTCCAGCTACCAGGCTCAAGTGATCTTCCCACCTCAGCATCCCAAGTAGCTGGGACTACAGGTCTGTGCCACCACACCTGACTAAATATTTTTTTGTAGAGATGGAGTCTTGCTATGTTGCCAGGCTGGTCTCAAACTCCTGGGTTCAAGCAGTTCCCCCTCCCTTAGCCTCCCAAAGTACTGGGATTACAGATGTGAGCCACCTCTCCGGCCCCCTGCTTCTACTCTTGACCCTATAGATTGTTATTTCCTAGTTCTACACTTGCCCCTTTATGCTCTACTGCAGCGGCCTAGAGTGTATGAACCCCATTGTCAAAGCTCTCATGCCAGCTGGCTTCTGATAAAGCTCTGCCAGTAGGAGCCACTACCAGGAAATCAGAAGGCAGCGGGAGGAGAGTAACTTGCTGCTTCTGGATTCAATGGTGTGGCAGTTGCTGGCCATTTCTATAGGGAAAGTGGAGAAGGGATTATTCCTTACTCTAGCAGTTCCTTCCATGGTCAAGGGGGCACCTCTCTAGTAGACAGAGGTTGAAAGTGATAGTGTCTCCAGATGGCACAGAAGCTGGTGCAGTTCCATGGGTTCCAGCTAAGGGTATTTTTAGCAGCTTTTTAATCTATGATGTCACCCCATTATTCTTTTTGACATCTATTACTCTTAAATTTCCTCTGCATGAAATAACTAGGTAGGTTCTCTTTCATGATTGGACTCTGATAACACTTTGCTGCAGCTTGTTCTCCGCTTAGCTGTTGGCGTCTGAAGGTACCCTGATCATGTCAGTTCACTGCTCAAAACTTTCCAACAGCCTCCTCTCATGTTAGAATAAAATTCAAAGCCCACATATTCCGTAAGTCCTAAAGGCCCTGGCGCCTGACTACATCTTCAACCTCTTTTTGTAGGATTCTCCCACTTAGTGAGTTCCAGCCAGAGTGACTTCCTTGCTGTACACTAGTGAGCACTCTAAGCATGTTCCCAGGCTGGGACTTTTGCATTCATTGTTTCCTTTGCCTGAAGTTTCCAGCTATCTTTCTCGCTTCATTCAATTTCTGCTTAAATATTACCCCCCCTAAAGAAGCCTTCCCTGGCCACTAAGTCTAAAATATCAGTCTCTGCTACTTTCTGTCCCTGACCCTCTTTTATTTTTCTCACTATAAATGTATCTGTTTGTTGTTTTTAATGTGTCTTCCTCACTGAATGTCTTGTAAAGTCAGGGTCTTTGTTGTCCATGTTCACTGTAATGCTAGTACCTAGTTAGTACCTGGCCTACAGCAGGTGCTCAGTAAGTATTTGTTGAATAAATGAATGGTACACTCTCACATACTCTAGTCTTAGTGTCTCATCACTGTCTACGTTTGTGGCTTTCTCAACAGCCTGTAATTTGAAGCTTAAGGAGATTCATAGTGAAGCAAGGAAATTGTCAAGACCGTTCAGTTCTTTTTCACTTCTACTTCTTGCTTGCCTGCTTTTGACAAAAACAAACAAAAAAATCTAGCCCATGTGGAAATACCATGGTTAAAGTTGGGAGACTGTAGGTGAGAAGGCGAGCAGGCTTAGATAATAAGGATAAGCTGTAGCCTCCAACATATACGAAGGTTTTAATTCAATTCTGTAAGTAACTGAGGAGTGCTTGTGCGTAGGAAGCCAACCAAATAATATCAGTATCTAGAACTGTGTAGCAATGTTTAAATCAGCTCAAAGTTCACCATAGAGTATATCCAATAATCTTTTTTTATCTGATCTGAAAGTGTAACCAGTTCTAAACTCTGAGCTAGTAAATATTATTTAAGGAACGAGGTAAAGATATAAATCATGCTTCCGTTTTTTAAACAATGTAAACAGTGAACCGAATTCCAGTGTGAAATTAGAATACGAATCGGTTTCACCTAGGGCAGATTAATCGCTGAGTAGCGAAGAGCTGCTGGTTCAGCTGAGGATAAGATGTGAGAATTTTTACCTTCTTTTGACACCAAGTCTTGCTCTGTTGCCCAGGCTGGAGTGCAATGGTGCAGTCTTGGCTCACGTCAACCTCTGCCTCGTGAGTTCAAGTGATTCTCTTGCCTCAGACTCCTGATGAGCTGGGATTATGTGCGTGCACCACCACGCCTGGCTAATTTTTATATTTTTAGTAGAGACAGGGTTTCCCCATGTTGGTCAGGCTGGTCTCGAACTCCTGACCTCATGATCTGCCCGCCTCAGCCTCCCAAAGGGCTGGGATTACAGGCATGAGCCACCACGGCCGGCCAAGGATTTCTTACAAAGAATATACTCTGATTCTAAAGACATAATCACCAAGAGGTTGGTACCAACTCTTGAACATTTTCTTTGTTAGCTAGAGAAATCAACTGATGGCATTTTGTTGGGCACATTTAAAAATCACATCCTAATGTTTTAACAGAACAAGGCGATATATTTATGGAACCTAAGAGAGGACTGGAAATTATTTTACTACACTCCCAAACTGAAACATTCTCCCTTCTACTTTTGAATATAATATAACCATTGATAAGTAGCTATGGGTAATGAAATCACCGCAGCAGGATACAGGGGTAAGGGTTGAGTCCTCACAAGCCACAACTTTCAGGAATGCTGTAGACTGTAGTGATTTTAGTATGCCTGCCCACTATACTTTTCCATCCTCCTTTTTCAGCTAAAAACAAAAAGTTTTTGTTTTTATTGTGGAT